ACTTTGAAGAGGAGCCGCATCAACAACATTCAAAAGTGTCAGGATGTACTGCTAACTTGGACTCTTTACTTCCGATCAGTGTAAGGGCAGATCTTCAAAGAATAGGATGGAACGTTGAACTAGCAGGAGACAAGTTGAAAGTCACGAGGTCCGGTTCCGAGTTTTCGACGCGCATTCAGGACTATTATCAAGGAAAATTTACCAGTATGGATCTTACAACAATTGAGTCTCCTCGAAAGGATAGTTTCTTTCTATTGGCGCCGGACGTAGTGTACTACATGTCGCGTAGTTGCACGCTCGATGGTCCACAATCTGTCGTAGCGGTGACAGCACAGCAGCAAAATCAGAAAGATGAGGAGGAAGACGATGATGATTGGTGATGGCATCACACAGAATGCTAGAGACTTTGAATATTCATGTCGTTGTTTCCAAGCCAACCACTATCAGTTGTCTGCGTTGTTAAAAGAGGAAAATAGAAAAACCATATGACCACGCTTCAATAGAACGTAGACATGCTGAATTCGACTCTACCTCCCTTGAACAAACCTAAGAGGAACCTCAAGGTTCCAAGAACAGCGTGCCATTCATGTTCGAACGCAGGATAACCACGGCTGATCTCGCAAGTCGACTCTCGTCCTCAAATGATTCCAGGATTCTGAGGCCCTGCCAAACAAGCAACCTGTCCTCATCGAATTGCTCATCAGTCGGATGTCGAGATAACTCGGTAATGAGGCCCATTATAGCCGAGTAAATGTTGGTGATATTGTACCTGCCTTGTATTAGAACATCGGCAGCGCATAGAAAAGATCAATACTACTCTACCAAGACTTTGCGACTTCGTCTGTAAGATTGAGTGATAGGTGTAACGTAGTTCGCGAGGATGCCAGATAAATCGATTTGGCTCGCGAGAGAGCACCGTTGGCGCCTGGTTTAAGACTCAGAAGCAGGGAGTAGATATTGATGCGGGTCTCGTAAGCCATCAAGTAAATTCGGGTCCTTTGCGTTCTGATCCACGTGGAGTCGGCTGTGGACCATTTGGTTTCGGCTTGTTGATCCTCGTCAGGACCAAACCACGATGGCAATTGCGAAAGCAACTCCGCAATCTTCTCATCCGTTTGAAATACCAGCATCGCAGCGTTAGATTCTGACCAAGTGCCACTTCGAAGCAAATTGTAGAGAGTATAGCAGCTTTGAGCGGCCTTTACCATGATAATCAGCCAGTATACAGGCCTCGGGTAACCCGCATCTCTGTCTGGAAAAGTCTTCCCCATCAATTCATCGTCGTCCTCGAACGAGGGAAGATTTACAGTGAAATCGTCAGGGTGAATGCACGGAGTGCGAAAGGGCACTGGCAACCTATTCAACGTCAACAACAAGGAACAGCTCCGCCGGCAGATGAGGGCTCGTCCGAACCAGTCACAGATTACCAGATTCCACCACAATCTCCGGGACATCTCGGCGTCCAAATGACTCTTTCCTGCAAGGCGTTTCTCGTCATGAATACCCAGGCTCTGTGCTATGCGGATTGCAACCGGCCACAAAGTTGAAAAGCACTGCGGTTCACCTACAGTGACAAAAACGTCTCCCAGGATATCAATAGCCTGGACTGCCCTGATATTTGGCACTCGCACGAAGTCTATCTTGTAGAGGTAGAACATTGCCGCGTTGTACCAATGTCGCAAATAATCAGCTGCCTTCTGACCATCCAATTCTGCCACTTGCGTCATCGCAGTGGTTCCTTTGAAGCAAAGTACTGCCTTGTATGTAATGTGAGAATCAAACCGACAGATTTGGCAGTAATCACATACCGAAAGAAGGCTAAAATAAACTGATAACCAGCCAGCATCATACCAAGGTCTTTGTGCATCAGACAAGTTCGATTCCCAGAATTGCTGATGTTCTTCGCGGAAAGTTGGTACGTGAATCGCGAAGTGATTCCATGCTGTCTCTTCTCCAGCAAAGTTAATAAGCACATCGCTCAAGGCCCGTGTCGGGAATTTGATGTACGTTTCTCCTGCAATATGATCCGACAGTACATTGCATTCGGTCGCATTAAAAAGTTTTTTGACATGCTCATGGACAGTAAAGTCTGGCTTGAATGTATTTTGTGGAGCAGTAGGGTTGTTAGAGACAGCTGCCAACCTAGATTGGAGAAACAAATTCTCGGTCACCAATTCTTCATAGTGTAAGCCGTTGTAGACTTGTGGATTATCAGATCTAGAATGGTTCAGCATTAAAGACTCCAGATGTGAAGTGTCCAATGAATGATACCTTTGCTTATTAGTTGTAGTAATGACAGCCTCGGGCGAGCAACTTGATACTTCTCCGCGCCGGATGCAATTTGAACATGGTGTTCGTTTGTTGCAGCGCACTTTCCGTCGGGCACAGTTTATGCAAGACTGAGGGGCCCTCTGAGTGATGCGAGGAGCACGAGATTCCATGGAGGTCTACATGTCACATAATGATTAAGTTTGCAAATGGCAAGTAATTCTATGGACGGTTCGGCGATATCTAGTTAGTGCTTCGTTGCCAACACTAAGCCGAAGCGGTCTAGTGCCGATATCTGCGCGATTACTTAGAGTATTTGAGGCATCTGATTGGTGGCGAGAACCTCGGGCGAGTTTTCGGGTGGGTTTGCTACATGCACTAAGCAATGGTAGAAGGACTCAAGATCGCGTAATAGGTATCAGTATTATCAGTTCCTGCATTCTCAATGAACATCTATAAATTTGGAGCATCCGTCCTTCGTTTGTTAGGATACACTCCCCCTTTCTTCATCGAGACGAAAGCCAACCCTGAAAATCCAAGTTCGAACTAGTACATCAGATCTATTGCTTTCCAGCTCCGCAGCTCGACCAACACTGGGACAGCTGTCGTCAAGGCACAATAACGCCTCGAGGATGTCTACTATCATCGATGAGGTCAACGCAGCCCAAGAGCTACTTCGCTCTCGTCTTGCCGGTGCAATCTCGGAACCGCCCCAAGGCGTTCCAGAAGATGCTTTGCCATCTGTTCCTTTGATTGACCTTACCAAATCATTCTCGCCCGAACTTGCAGACCGTCAAGCAGTGGCTTCTGAGATAAGGAAGGCATGCACAACATCTGGCTTCTTTCAGATCAGCAACCATGGTATTGCAGAGTCGGCTGTCACAGACATATTAGGTCAAGCCGAGGCATTTTTTCACACTCTGACCCCTGCTCAGAAGGATGCCCTTCATATCCGTCATAATAAGCTCTTTCGAGGTTATGAAGCAGGGGGGGATACATATGTCAATCCGGATGACAATAGCAGTACTTCAGAGGTTGAAACAAAAGAAGGTATGGATCAAATCTAAGTCCAATCTACTTTGACATTATGACTCACCAAAAGGCAGGATATAATTGTGGCTACGAGCCATTCCTTGACCCTACCTCAACATCCAGTGATTCGTATGTCGAGTTGGACGGTCAGCCACCAGCGGAACCAGACCGATGCAATGTGTGGCCAGATTCATCTCTGCTGCCGCAATTTAAGCCCGCCCTTGCAACATACTACGGCCAAGTACTCTCGCTGGCAAGACACCTCTTCCGTCTCTTTGCTCTGAGCCTTAACCTCGAGGAAACATACTTTGACGGCCTCACCACCCATCCAGGAGGAATCTTTCGACTCTTGTACTATCCGGCACAGTCGCTGGCACAACTGGCCGGAAAGGAGAAGAAGCTCGGCCTCGGCGCGCACACAGACTATGAGTGCTTCACGCTGCTCCTCTCAACAGCACATCCAGGGCTTGAGATTCTCTTCCCACCATCCCCATTGACAGAGAATAAGCCTATCTGGCGGCCGTGCCCGGTGCGCCCCGGTACGCTCACAGTGAATATCGCCGATTTTCTGATGCGCTGGACGAATGGAGTGTACAAGTCCACGATTCACAGGGTCGTCAGTCGGCCCGTCAAAGATGTCATCGATGGCAAGGAATCGATCAAGGGCAGCGAGGCCAGGTATAGTGTGCCATTCTTCTTCAGTATCAACTATGATGCGGATGTGGAGCCATTGCCCGAGGAATCTGTGGGAGTGAGCAAATTTCAGAAGATGAAGGCGGGTGAATATGTTCTTGAGCGTCTGAGGGCCACTACTTAGACCTGCCAGTCGCTTTATGCAGGCTAAGATAATGATAAGGTTTATAGAGGAACATGGCAATTTACTTTCGTATGAGATTATATACATTTGTAATCAGTCATAAGCCCTTAAAGACACTCGTCCACGAGTCTTCAACTCACAAGCAATTGAGTGACCAACTTGCCACGCAGGGCTATGCTGACTGCTAAGGTTATTCTGACTACATTTGATCGCGAGGCCCTCGGATTCGTGTAATTTACGATATTTATTGAAGACAGTGCGGGCAGTCATTACACTTGGTTAGATCATTTGCTGTTCGGTCAGTGGTTTCCCGATTGGTTTGATTTGGTGTGACGCGCTGCCAGGTAATGGCGGCCTCGATTCGAGAACTCCGATGAAGTTTGCAAATCTGTGGCGATGACCTAATAACTGTTAATCCTTCGATCGGCGAGGTGAGAATGATGATCGTATTCTATGCATAGAACATCTACAGGAATGCTGGGAAATAATGAACAGGAGCAATACGTTGATTACCAGCTTACGAAATGGGCCGATGCGAGCATCTCGAAGATCGCCCTACCGGGAGCCGTAGACAATTGAAGAATTGATGTCATCATGGCATTGTAGTAATAAGTCAATCTATATATTCAGACTGCACATGCTATGAAAGTGCAATGAGCGCTCTTCTTTGTTTATCCCAACCCCCGACCCTGCCTCGACACCATGCGACTCTCTCAACTTCTCAGCTTGACAAGTATTACTTGTGCTCAGGCAGTCAACATCACAGCCTATCGAAATGTACCATCAGGGGCAAGCAAGGCCGTAGACCACGCCTTTCCTGGGTTTGGCATCGAATCGACCAGTTTCCCAGACTTCACCAAGCCCTTCTCACAGAATCTTTTTAATGCCATCGCCAAACGGACGGGGTCACCGGTGATTATTCGCATTGGGGGCACTTCCATGTATGAGAAAGCAATTCCTTGTCTACGGAAGGCGGGTGAATGGCTGACAATATGTAGGGATCATTCGATCTTTGACCTCCATCAGAACAAGACAACTGCATGGCCGAATGGGAAGGGCGGCGGCCTCCAGTCAAATATCACATTTGGCGCTCCCTGGTTCGACGGTCTTGGCACCCTGAACAACACGAAGTACATTATGGCGTACGCTTTAGCTCGGCATCGTGGAACAAACTATACAAATAGCGTGGAGTTCATCCAGCATTCGCTGGATACCATGGGTCCCGACAAGTTGCAGGCTGTGGAGATTGGCAACGAAGTCGACATCTTTGCGGCTCAGAACTGGAGGAACGACTCTTACACGGCACAAAACTACGCCAAAGAAGCAAAGTCAAACATGGATCTGTTTGCATCGAACATCACCAATCTTCCAGAAGGTAGGATGTTTCAAATATTTGACCGAAGCTCTGAAAACGACAGAGCAAGATGGAAGATGTCAGTGAAAGATCCATCAAGTTTTGTATACTCCTTATTCTAACCATAATAGAAACAAGTTCTTGAACAAGACGGAGGGAATAGTCGACTATAGCAAAGTACAATCTATTGCAGCACATTAGTAGGGGGTTCTTGCCATTTGATTATGAATCAGCACGTTAACGATCAACAGTTACCAAGGATACGCTGGCGATGATCTCCAGGGTAGGTGCGCTGGATGCCTTGAGATTATATACTGACTTACCTTGTAGACATGTTACTGAATCACAAAAATACGGTCAAGAAGACCAATGACTACTTCCTCCCCTTTGTCAAGGCGGCCAAGGACCAGAACTGGGACTTCATCATCGACGAAGTTGGCAGCGCCCTCGGAAGCTCCGATGCCGGGAAGGACTACCATCTGTCTGCAAGCTTGGGGTCGGCGATATGGACGGTGGACTGGATGCTGCATGCAATGAGCATTGTGAGTTGCACCGCCCTTCCGTATACAGATGTCGGCTGATCTTGAGCTAGAACGTCACCCGAATCAACATGCAAATGGGCCGGTCGTTCCCCTTCGCCGCCTGGCAGCCTGTGACTATCAAGGGGACGCGGGCACATGTGCTCGGAGGCTGGTATGGGCATGTGTTGGTGGCCGACTTCATAGGCTCCGACACGACATGCGCTCTACAAGTGAAAGAACTTGGCAGCGACAATAAACACGTCACAGCGTATGCCGGCTATTCCAACGGAACGTTGGCCAAGGTGGTACTCCTGAACCAACAACTGTGGCTCCAGACTTTGAACACGACTCGCCCATGCGAAACGGTGAACCTGGCCCTACCTGGACTGTCAGGCCAGAACGTAACGGTGAAGAAGTTGACTGGGCCAAGCGGAGGCGCATTGAGAAACATCACGTATGCAGGTCTTGACTGGCCGCTGAGGACAAAGGGTATAGAGGTACTGGTAAAGAACGACACGGAGACAATGCAAGTTGAGGACGAGAGCTTATCTCTAGACATTGAGGCGACTCAGGCACTGTTGCTGTCCTGGTAAGGTCAATGCGTGGATAAGTGTCTATGATTGATTCCTTGCGAGAGAGCAGAGCATGTATGTATGGTGAATGGAATTGAAGATTCGATGTCTGTGTAGACCAGACCAGAGCATCTAGACCTTGACTGATGCACCGAGGAATTCAAGGGCAGGCCTAGGAAATTGTATATCTTGAAAACAAGACCGTGATATGTCCGTATCGGGCCAATATGTTACGGAAACAGTAAAAGAAGGTGTCGTTCGGTTTGGAGCTTTATTAGCGGGTGTGAATCGGGTTTGGTCAGGCTAATACCAGTGGTGTGTTGGTGGCTGACACCTAGCACTGATGTTGTCAGGGACGCACCCCACTCAAGGCTAGAGCCTCCATCGCTATAAGCTAAGGCGCCTTGATTCATACATCGCCACGCGCTTTGCTGCGCTGGAACGAAACCTCGGCCGCTTGCCAACAAAGAAAGCGACAATTACCGGATTGGGGCTTGAATAGAAGTCACAACCAGCCCTCCCCACATCCAGCGCACATCCGTTTTCGATCGGCACTGACTGAAGTGATACCGGACACTTGAGGCTGCCGTCAATTGTGTCCGAGCTGCTGCACGCCAAGCGGGAACAAGAGTCGCCTTGAGACAAGATGCGGTTTCATCGCAACTCCTCGGTAGTCGTTTAAGCTTGAATCCCCTCGATATCCCGTCTCGACCCGCCTGTGCGGAACGCTTGGCCCATCCGGCCTACCGATACACACGCTTCCAAGACCTGTCAGATGCGAGCTTGCTGAGCATCCCCTGCCTGCCACTGTCCTGCCAGCCAGTGCAGGGTTCACACCTCCATATCTATTCACTCTCGAGGAGCTCCTTCAACATGCCCGACCAAGCTCCTCTTATCGACAGTGCCGATGCGGGCGACGTGCGCAGAATGTCTGCCGAATCCGATTCTTCCGTGTCGACCACGAGTCTCGTCTTCGAGCGCATCAGCGAGCGCGTGTCGAATAATCGATCATCCTCCAAGCGACGAACCTCTCCCACCCCGCGCCGCAATGGGTACGCCGACCACGACAGCCTCTCCGACTTCGACGAAGAGGACCCTCTCAAAGAGGAGCGCGATGATGACCTCGAGACCGGCCCGTTTCTGGCGTCCGCCGCTGTCACCGGTGGCAAGCGCATGGACAAGAGCATGAAGCGCCTGGTCATCATCATCTCCGGCGTGTTCGTCGCCGCCTGGGTCGTCGCTCTCTTCGTCTACCTATCGGCGCAATCCTACAAGCACGCTTCCGATTTCGAGCATGACCCCCAAGCTACCGCCTCGCGTGGACACGGCAAGAGCGTGTCGATGGACCAGCTGCAGTCGGGCTTCTGGTACAGCAAGAGCCACTCCATCAGCTGGATCCGCGGCGCCGATGGCGAGGATGGGCTGCTGATGGAGAAGGATGTGCCGGGCAAGGACTACCTTATTGTTGAGGACGTGAGGAGCCAGAACCCGGATGCTGTGGCTGCGACTGGAGCTCAGCTGGCGAGCAGCAAGACCTTGATGAGGAACGGCCCGTTCATCTATGCCGGGAGACAATATGTGCCATCCTCGGTCGAGCCGAGCCCGAATCTGCTGAAGGTGTTGATTGCTACAGACCTCCAGTCAAACTGGCGACACTCGTCAACCGCATTGTATTGGATCTTGGATGTCAACCAGCAGAGTGTTGAGCCACTGGACCCCAAGAACCCGGGAGATCGAATTCAGCACGCAAGCTGGAGTCCAACCAGCGATACCATTGTTTTTACAAAAGAGAATAACATATATATGCGACGGATTGGCTACAATGAAATTACACAAATCACGAAAGACGGAGGCCCTGAGCTCTTTTATGGTGTGCCTGACTGGGTCTATGAAGAGGAGGTACTTGGTGGTCCAAGTGCAACATGGTGGAGCGAGGATGGCAAGTATATCGCCTTCCTGAGGACGAACGAGACCGGAGTACCGGAGTACCCCATTCAGTATTTCATCGACCGACCTAGTGGTGAAGAGCCCTCGCCCGGAGAGGAGAGCTATCCTGAGGTCCGGCAGATCAAATACCCCAAAGCGGGTGCCCATAACCCAGTGGTGGATCTGCAGTTCTACGATATCATCCGTGGGGATGTCTTCTCCGTAGAGATATCCGACCAATTTGCGGACGACGACAGACTCATCACAACGGTCGTTTGGGCCGGTAGAAAGGTTTTGATCAAGGAGACAAACCGCATCAGTGATGTCATGCGTGTGGTCCTCGTCGATGTCGAATCCAGAACTGGGAAGACTGTGAGAACTGTTGATGTCGGCAAGCTAGATGGCGGTTGGTTCGAGATCTCTCAGAATACGCGATACATCCCAGCCGACGGTAACAAACAACGTCCAAATGACGGATACATCGACACGGTGATCTATGAGAATAATGATCACCTCGCTTACTTCACCCCACTAGATAACCCAGAGCCAATCATGCTCACCAAGGGTGACTGGGAGGTGGTAGATGCGCCATCTGCTATCGACTTGGATCGGAATCTTGTCTACTTTGTCTCAACAAAGGAGTCTTCAATCCAGCGCCACGTTTATAGTGTCAAGCTTGATGGGACGAATCTACAAGCTTTCACAGATGCTTCTGTGGAGGGCTACTATGCCGTTTCTTTCTCCAGCGGAGCGGGCTATGCTTTGGTTACCTACGCTGGCCCAAATATCCCCTGGCAGAAGGTCCTGAGCACACCAAGCAACCCCACACCGTATGAGCATCTTGTTGAGGACAACAAGGAGCTGGCAGAACGTGCAAAGCAGCATGAATTGCCCATCAAAATCTATGGCAAGCTCAAGGTCGATGGTGTTGATCTGAACTACGTCGAGCGCCGACCGCCACACTTCGACGCGAAGAAGAAGTACCCTGTTTTGTTCCAACAGTACAGTGGCCCCGGCTCTCAGCAGGTAATGAAGAGATTTGCGGTGGACTTTCAGTCTTACATCGCGTCTCTGGGCTATATAGTCGTGACCGTCGATGGCCGCGGTACTGGCTTTATTGGGCGGGACAACCGTGTCCTCATCCGCGGAAATTTGGGCAAATGGGAATCACACGATCAGATCGCCGCTGCCAAACACTGGGCCGGCTTGAACTACGTCGACGCATCGAAGATTGCTATCTGGGGTTGGTCATACGGCGGGTTCATGACCCTCAAGACGCTGGAGCAGGATGCGGGCGAGACCTTCAGCTACGGCATGGCCGTTGCGCCTGTCACGGACTGGAGGTTCTACGACTCCATCTACACGGAAAGGTACATGAAGACGCCGCAGGAGAACGAGGCTGGCTACGACGACACTGCGATCAGCAACGTCACTGCGCTTGGCTCCAACGTTCGGTTCCTGATCATGCACGGCATCGCCGACGACAATGTGCACATGCAGAACACGCTCACGCTTCTGGATAAGTTGGATCTTGCTGGGATTGAGAACTATGATGTCCATGTCTTCCCGGATAGCGATCACGGCATCTACTTCCACGGTGCCAACAGAATTGTCTACGATAGTAAGTACCCGCATGGCTTCTACGACGAGTTCTAATGGATGCTGACCATGTGGCAGAGCTGAACAACTGGCTTGTCAATGCTTTTAATGGTGAATGGCTGAAAGTTGCCAATGCAAAGCCTACCGAGGCCCAGGAAAAGAGGCGAGAGCTGCCGGTGTAGTGAATATTGGCTTATGTTGGGCACGCTGCACTGGAGATGGCGTTTAGGGTGGCATGACAAGGCGTCACGGGTTCCTTCGAATCTAGCATATATTGCATGGGGTATTTTGATTCAGAATGAAGCTTTAGTATTGTATAAAGAACAATGTCCCTTCTGCGGACACATTTTCTGATGCTCTTGTGGCCCTGCTTCGATTTAGTTGACTCGCCCTAAGCCAACCCCGTGATACAACACTCAGGTAGTCTGGAAGAGCTGGGGATACTCCGGCAGTGGCTCATTGGGCTCGATCTTCTCGACCTGGCACGCAGTGCCATACGCGCAGACCTGAGCGAAACCCTCCTTCCAACATGTCAATTCAGCAATTGTCTCTACCAAATTTCAAGAGCAGCAACTCACCATGCCTCCAGTGTCAAAGCGCAGCGCAATGATTGCGTTGCCGCCGCGGCTCTTGCACTCGTCCACTATGCGGCCGATGGCATCATTGCGAGCCGTGTACAGCTAAAGAACATTCAAGCCCTGGTAAGCCCGTTGCTTTTGCCATGTGCATCAGTGAATGCAACGAGATTGGGAAACCCACCATGTTTGTGAACCATCGCAGCTCCCCGCCGACGACGCTCTTCAGCACCATGCCAAGCCCGGCGGCCCAGTTGCGTGATCGGACGGTTATGCCGTACACCGTACCCAGCATCTTTACGATGCGATATCCAGGTACCTAGAGCTGATGTTAGAGATCCCCAGCTGAGTAGATGAACTGAGTGCATAGTCGCTTACGTCGAACATGGTGGTTGTGATCACCCCCCCTGTCTCTGTGAAGCAGTGCAGATCCTGGATCTCTGGGGGGATGTTCGCCGGCTCGCCGGACTTCTTCTCAGGGTGTTTCGAGAATGAGGCCATTGTGGTGAGTTCGGAAATGGCGAGCGTCTTCGTAGGGATGGAGAGACGAATGAACAGTTCCCTAAATCTTCAACTTGGCTTATATGTGCAATTTAGATTTCACCAGACGCAAACAAAGTTTGTCATGATCGAACTCTAGAGATGAGAGGGACAGGGACAAACAGCAGTCGGTCGAACATCCCTCCTTTATACACGGAGCCATGGGATCAAGCATCTTCTCAGTTACATAGCTACACTGCTTGAAAAATAATAAAGTCACGCGATATCGCCAACGATCTGCTGGCGGCTCTTGGTGCATCATGAAGGAGCTCAGCCCAGCTTCTGAGTCTTTGATCTGCGTGCCTCTCTGATAGGCCAACCTGCCGTCAAGGGCGCAACGCCGCCCCGGAACGGAGGCTAACACAGCCAACCAAGAGGCCGCTAACCCCGTATTTCGTATTGTTTTATCCCGCCTTCGCGACATAATACTGCAGTAGGCTGGCCCGGTTTGTGCCCCTATCGTAGTGCTCCTTACAGGGTTGCAGTACTAGCTGCCAATGACCTCCATCCAACGGCAAGATTCTGGCTTTGAAAGACGTAAGCTGCTAACATGTGATGTATCAAGCAGGAGTTTTCCAATCAACCTTACTTGTTTCGCTAAGACAATTGTCGTTACTTACTTTGACAGGCTTCACGCAACATCATCGTTGGCGAGGCGTTCTTGATCACTTTCCTCTTGGCAGGCACTTCTTGGCTATGCTTCCTTGACATCAGCCACCAGGCGAGGCTGAGTTGTAAGCTACGCACCGTATCAAAATCAGAGCGAGCGCGGAAGATGCGAGGAATACGCTTTAAACAGTCAACAGCCTCTTCTCAGCCTTGTGCCCGTGGGAGCCGGCATCAATGAAGCATGTTGACTCAAGATCGTCACCCGGCGGCATCGACACAAACATGGCCCGCTAGATCCAATGCCTTACCCCACACTGGAGACTGATCTGTTTGTGATTAATTGGGTTTTAATCCTCGGAAGCTCAGGGACCGGGATATCCATCTTTGCAAATTCTGCAAGGTACGGGGGACCAGTATGCATCTGCATCTGCGGCAGCTAGACAGCGTCTCATCGTCTCTTGTTTCCTGCCGCCATTAATCAATTCGCGCAGATTCACCCGGTGCGGATCTCCCGGGAACCCAGAATGACGCGAGAGCCCGGAGAAGTCTTCATAATGGACAGTTCTCCCTGTACCATGAGAGGCGAGACCTTCAAGTGAAGAGTTTCGTCTTGTGTTCTGGTCGACGCGGTCTTGAGAAGTCTCATATTGCTGTCTTTGTTGTGACACCAAGGGGAGCCAGCCAGCATCATGGTCTCTTACACGCTTGTCTTCGCCGCTCTGGCCGCCGCTGTCTCTGGCGCGCCATGCGCGTCCAACGCAACCATCAAGTGTCCCATCGTCTTCGACGGCCGGATTGCCGCCTCAGCGGCTCTGACCGACCTCGACAGCTCGTCCACGTCGCCCTTCAACCCAGACTACGTCAAGGGCAACAGCCTCAAGTGGAGCAACATCATCCTGTTCCCCTCGGTGCCCAACAGCCGCTTCGACAATGCCTCGCACAGGCCTCTCGAGGTGACACTGTCCGACAAGTCTGTCTTCCAGTCGCAGAACGGCTTCCGCCGCGCGGGCCTGCAGTTTGCCGGCGACAGCAACAACGGCTCGCCCGGCTACACGGGCATCAAGACGCTGCACTTCAGCGTCAAGCAGGACCCGGCGCGCGCTCTGAACCTCAGCCACGAGTACCTCAACGTATGGCACGAAGCCGCCGACTACAGTGCCGACCAGATCATGTTCGAGACGGGCACCATCCTCGGCCAGACGGGCCTGCCTAAGAACACGTTCAAGTTCTTCGACCGCAACATGAAGCAGCTGTGGAGCACCGCCGTCGACGGCACCGCTTGGCAGAACTTCGCCGTAACTCTGAATATAAATAGCAAGTAAGCTCATTTGTCTCCCCTCCTCCCTGGCGTGATCAAGTCAGAGAAGTTAGGTAATTTGCCAACACCAATGTAGCACCGTGCAGGTTTACTACTCCAAGGATGACGAGCCGCTCAAGTCGGTGACCAGTGCTGTTTCAGCCGATTTGTCGGGACAAGGGCAATTCCAGATCGGTATCCTGAAGAAACCCACAGGTACCTCAGATGTTGTAAACTCGGGCTATCAAGAGAGTGGGCTAAATGAAGGCCAAATCTACGGGGGTCTTTTTATTGAGGACAGCTCGAACGGTTGCATTTCCCTCTAAGGGACCAAATCAAACGCGCACCATCTAGATAGTTCCGCCCACGAAGGGGTATAGTGAGACATAACGCTGCGCATTTGCGGAGCAAACATGTACATTGCGAATAGACAAGACAGCAAAGAAGGCAACATGTCGTCGCGGAGATACAGTCAGTAAGGTGAACATTCATAAAGTACTATCATACAACTATCCTGCACAAATAATGACCATCTGCCGAATGCAGACAGCTCCAAGACCTGTATGAACGAATCTTCGCGAAGCGACCATCTAGGAGAGCACCTCCTTCACTATTCTCAACACCATTACATGTATGGTGACGACGAGTTCAGGCCCAAGGGCTAACTTGTACGAGCCCTCAGACTGAACACAGCCGCCGCAGGGTTATACACTGTAGAAGGGGATAAAGTCTTAGAACGCCACCCAGTCAATCCTGCGTAGACACTTTACTCTTTGGGTGCCGTGAGAAATGCCAGAAGCAACGTGAGATGTTGAATGATTGGATAAACCATGATACTGGTCATGATCGACTATACCATTCAAGTATGGCGTCAGCTGCGGATCCAGTACCTATCTCTAAAAGCCAAATCCGGTGGGCTGGGGAGCGAAGCCATTTGGTGCGAAAGCTGGCGAAGCACGGCCAGTGTTACCTCCCGGGCCAGCAGTGATCATGAGACGGTTGCCACCCAAAATCGGGGTGTTGTCGTCAACTGTCTCTTGTTCCTTCTCCTTAGCCTTTCGAGCCTCATTATCAGCCTTGAGTGTGGCTAGCTCCTTAGTCTGCTGGCAGAGAAGGTTGATCATGTATGGCATAGTGAAGTCGTTGAGACCATGGCGCCAAGACATCTCAAGAACAAGATCCGGTCGGATTAGGTCGTAGCAAGCATAGAGCATACCGACATAGCATTCTCGGTTGCCAACGTCTACGAACTTTCATGGAATTAGTACAGGCAAAACAGATAGTCTGACAATATGACTTACGTAACGGAGAAGATCCTCGACAACCTCGGTTTTGCCAGAGATGGCGGCAGTCTCAATCGCGTCTTTCCAAAGCTTGTCCTGCTTAGACAGAGCGATCGATTTCTCCCACCGCTTGTTCTTACGGTAGATATTGGCGGCAATCTGGCGGAAGAAAACAAGATCATGCTTCTCGAGACGTTGAGCGAGGGCGACCGGCTCGTAATTATCGTAGTTCTCAACAGAGTCTCGCAGGGTCTTGTAGTCTTCCTCCTCAATGAGGAGGTCGTTGATGGCATCGTTGACCGTGCGCTTGTTCTGTGTCTGGACGTTGAGAAGGAACGGCTTAATCAGCGGCAAGTTGTCTGACTTCTGGAACATGCGAACCACACGGTTAACATCGATACGTGGAGTCAGCGCCTGAAGAAGATCGGTGATCAGGGATGGGTGTTGCTCCAGGTAGAAGTTGATAGCCTTGTAGTAGATCTCAAGGTTGGCAACCTTGACGACAATCTCTTTAAACTGCTGGTGCTCCCAGGAGTTTTCTGGCCGCTCCATAACCGCCAGTGCTGCATTGTCAAACTCGTCGTAGTGGTAGTAGCAGAAGACAAGCTCGGGCCAGAGATTGGCTTCCTCACAGGCTTTGATCATCTTCGGCAGATTCATTCTGCTCCAGAAGAGTTTCAAGTGTTCAAGCAAGCGCTCAGGGTGGTATTTGGATAAGGCAATTCCAAGCTCAGTGAACATGCCCATATGAGCACGCTCCAGACCCAGACCTTGCTCCAGGAGGTTGATGAGCTCATCAAAGTATCCGTATCCCTCGTATTGCTGAACGAGCGCTTGCAGTTGCTCGGCGTCAACGATGAGGTTCAGACCGCAAATCTGAGCAAGGCGGAATTCCTTCTTGCCCACACATGCATTGTGGACCTCCTTCCAGACCCTGATGTTATTGGCCTTACGAGCAGACTCGACCGCGGCCTGGTAGTCTTCCAAGTGCACAAGAGTGGTGGCAAGCTTAGCCCAGTTGGAAATGCTGGTGAAGAAGATCTTTGCGGCTTCGAAGAAGCCCTCTTCGTAAGCCTTATCACCGGACTCCTCGATGTTCGCAACATTGGTGCCTCGCAAGAAGTCCTCCAATTCTGAGAGCTGGTCCAGTCGAGCGTAGGAGAAAGCCAAGGCCGTGTCGATAGGAGGCTCGCGAAGCGTCTTGCGCGCCATGCGCAAGTACTTGATCAGGTCCTCGTCTTTGCCGGCATGAGTGGCAACCTCAATGACCTCCTCGTAGTTCTTCGGGTCCTCAGCCTTGATGTAAGATTCGATGGAGTCAGAAACTCGAAGTCCATCTAGCTGAGCCTTGGCGACCTTGCTCCAGACCTCTGGGAGATCAACATCCTCGGCAAATGCCTGAGCCCGGTCGATGCTGACAACATTCTCTACGAGCACATTGACTGCGCTGGTCTTGTCGCCCACCTTCTTGTAGATTTCGAAGGCTTCCTCGTACAATCCGACCTCGATACACATGGATGCAATTTCCTGGGGATCGAAGCCATCCAGGCGATGGATATAATCCATGACTCGCGCCTTGTCTGCCTTTGCCGCGGTGAACATGAGAAGGTTCTGGAGGTTCTGATTGTCGCTGAACGGCGATGGCTCGAGAACGATCTTCTCTAGAAGCTCGATAAGCTCGCCCGGCATATCGGCTTCCAAGAAGCAGGCAACGGCAACTGAAACCTTTGCGGGATCGGTAGACTCTGGTACAGCGGTCGCAACGACCTGGTCGACAACAGATCGGCGGTGAATGTTGTTCTCGCTGAGTACGAAATTCCACAGCTCCTTGTCTGCGCGCTCGAGAAGATATCTTGCCTGTGCTCTGTACATCGAGTTCTCGTTGGTGATGTTGACGAGCTCCAAGTCATTCTGACCCTTGCTATAAGCGATGTAAGCGAGATTGGGGTCGCGCTTCTCGCAGTACTTTCCAACAACCAATGTGTCATATTGGTCGTTCTCCTTCAGGAACTTCTCGGGGTTGTTGTTGGAGTCAATGTAGATCTTGGCGAGAGCATTATACACTGCCTGTTGCTGGTTACCGGCTGCAAGCGTCGCCTCAAGGAACGGTAGCAGCAACTTGAGTCGATTGCGGGTTTCAACCTCAGAGACGAGCTCATCAATAGGAACAGACGCCGCATTGACTGTGGTGAGCAGGTTTTTGATGATACTCTCATCGCAATCTACATCGAGGAGTCCACCAATGACTGCGGGTGTACGAGAGGGGTTGACTCGCTGGACGTACGTCTCAATTGACTGGAATTGCTGGTTCTTATAGAGGAAGAGAACGAGATCGTGCACGAAGTTGAAACGATCGCAAACGATAATGAGAGGCAGCTGCTCGGTCAATTTGGCTTCCTTCAAGAAGTTCTTTACCTTCTCGGGGTTGTAGTAGTTGCTCTCACGGCAGATGCGCTCGACTTCGCCAAACTGGCCAATCTTAGTAGCAGCCTCGATGTACTTATAGTGAACGTCTGGATCCTCAGACAGATTGACAATACTTCCAAGGTAATAGAAGAGACCCTCGGAGCTCTTGTACTTCTCGAAGAGGTCGATCAGACGTGTCGGACCAAGGAGATCGGAATACTTGGTAGCAATCTGAAAGACTGACTGGAGGTTTTGACGGATGTTGTGCTTAAGCATAGCATCGAGGCAGTCGAGAGACTGCTCTACCGACAGCTTGCCGAAGAAATTGACCAGCCACTCGGGGTTGAAATTTGGAGTTCCTGCAATTCCAACGATGACCCGCTTGACAGCTGCGGGGTCTTCGTACAACTCGAGAGCCTTCTGGTACAGGCCGGCTTGCTCACAAAGAGTCGCAATCCGTGCCTTATCGAAGTACGAGAACATGTCGTTACCCAGAATGGCATCTGCAACCTGAGGGGCGTTCATGAGGTTCATCTCCAATAGACGGGTCTGCAAGTGACCCTGTTCAGGCTTGTTGTCCTTAAGAGCATCGAGCAAGAACGCGGTGGCCTGTTGAACCATTCCTTGGGCTTGGAAAACGTCGACAACACGCTCGATGTCAACGAGAGAGCCGCCAGGCTGGTTTGCGAGTTGGGTAGCGAACTCGGCGCCTTTCTCTGGATTGCTTCGTACAAGGTGCTGCAGGAGTTGGATCCAGTCGGGTTGATAGCCTGTCTGGGTCACATATGGCAGAATCTTGTCGAACTGGCCGGTTTCCGCCAAGCCGGCGACAACCTTGTGTGGTACTTCGGCCTTCAGATAGACGGTGAGAGCCATGTTGATATCATGAGGTCGCACCATGTCACCCAGCTGCTCAGAGCAGTCCAGTTTGCCCTCTTTCAGCCACTTTTCAAGAAGTTGCTTGCGGCTCTGCGCGAGAACTGGTTGCGCAAGCTCAAGGGTTTCATGCTTGTTAAGGGTCCCCTTGTCTAACAACATTCCGAAGTACTGTAGGATGTAGGACATTTGCCCGGGTTGCTGAGGCAATCTCTTGAACTTCTCAATCGTCTGAGGGGTTCGTAGGAAACCGCGTGGTGAGCCGGCGGCGACCTTGGCAGCTTCCATGTAGTTGCCACCGTTGAACAGCTGCTCGAACTGTCTTCCATATAGATCATCTGCGCCAGGAAGTCCGGCACGTGAGGCCATCTTGATAGCCATCTCGGTGTTGCCCGGGTTTTGCAGCAAGTAAGAGATGATGCTGTTGTCATCTACAGTCACAAAGAGGACCTGACCCTTGCGGTTGATACCTACGATACCTGTGGAGTCGTTGTCAGAGCAAGTTGTGAAGATCGTCTCGCTCGATATTCTATTCATGAAGATGCAGCTGCCAGTCTCAAGGTCATAGAGGTGGATGAAGCCGTATTTCGTAACAAGATAGATGACTCCGTACTTCTGCGAGACTTGCATCGCGACCGGGAAATCGTTGACAGCTTCGGGTGGAAAGAAGACGTCGACATTCTTTTTGGCGAAAACGGGGTTTGTCTCAGGCTTATCGACTTCGACGACGTGTAGCTTTGCGCCAGTGGCAGTTCGTACTGCGAAGGTGAAGAGTTTGGAATCTTGCGGAGCGCCTTCGAGGCGTAAGGTACCGAAGGCGGCGGCATGGCCCTCTATGGCCTGGCTGATACCTCGATCTCTGGAGTAGAGCTGCATTTGGCCGACAACTCGTCCCTGCTCTTGCTTGATGCCTACAACAACCATCCATTTTGCGTCGACGTTGACTCGATAGTTGATGATTTGGCAACCCTTTTTACGATCAGCAGGCTCCCCGGGCAACAGTTAGGAGCTAGAACTTACGACGAGGTTGGGGTTGCGCTTAAAAACCTCAACAGGCGCAGCCTGTGTCTGGTCAAAGACATCCCAGTGGAAGACTGCTGAGTCTGTGACCAAGCCAATCGTAGTGTCACTGATCCACTTCCAGAAGACGACATCCTCACCCATGGTGGCAGACTTTAACTTAGCTTTCTGCTCCAGGTCAAAAATCTGTAGTGTTCTAGACTGTGCCTTGAGGGCAATAATGTTGCGCGTCCAGTGCATGATTGCGCTGTCGGCCTTGATGGGTCGTCGGGTGACATTGTTATTGTTCTTGAGGTCGACGATGACCACCTCGGGCTGTGCGGCTTCACTCTTCTTCTCGCGAATGCAGATGTACTGATCTGACTCTAAGGTCTGTGAGGAAAGAAGTTAGCAAAATCAATGCGACCGAGTGATGAGAAGGGATGCATACACAGGAGTTGAAGCCAATAGCTGATTGATCGACGCCGATGCTGGTGAGCTGCAAGAGCTCAGTGAACTTGATGGGTAGCGGCGCCATGTTGATGTGCGCGGCGGTGCGCGGAGCAAGATGACAGCAGCCGTCAGGTCGTCAAGAATCGAGAGTCGATGGAGATGCTATCGATGAAGGAGGGTGTGGGAAGGTCGAAAGAAGAAAAGAGCTCGCCCGGCGGATCAGCTGCTGCCAGAGTGAGCGAAAGGGGGAAACTCGTCAAGAATTAGTAGAGACCGCTGGCAAGAAGGAGATCAATCAGAATGAAGGAAGGATCGTAGAAAGCTTCCTTCCCGTCGATGATGATGGCGGGAATGAGCGGGAGTATTAGGTAGGTAGAGGTGGAGGTGAGGTGAAGATGTTTGATTGTGGATGATGTTTGGATGGAGAAGGTAGGTACGTAAGGTAGGTGCAGGTGCGCTTACATTTTTTGAGGTCTACCTGTTCGCTTCGCTACTCCAAGCTTTCGCGACACCTGGGCGCACCTTCCTGCTCTGCTGGCTGCCTTGTTGATCGGGTAGCTCCTGCCAATTGCACTAACCCAAACTGACCCACCCCCCTGGCCACCACCCACACAAACACATCTGACCCCGCACGTGATGCCGCTGGAGTGCCAGTGGGTTCTGTATCAGGCTTAGCCTCTTTGGATAGTGATTATGTCAGGGGGAGGCCCCTTCAGAATCGCCTGCACTTCCGGCTGATGAACGCTATACATGCCGCAACTAAATCGCTACCTGACTACCTCCTTGTATATATAGACATACATGCAAGCCATTTTAAAATGTCTATAGAAGACTCAGGTCTACAACTAGGCTAGTTATGATGATACTCTAGGCAACCTCAGCTCATCCCCTTAACTGCAGGCTGAATCGACTGACCTCTGCCATGGCTAGCTAAAGACAAAAGCTAATATGGTCGGAGTCAGAGGAAGATCACGAGCTTGCGATAACTGCCGGCGTAGGCGAATAAAATGTGGTACGTATCATCGCAGCAGCTTGTTGTCGTCTGTATCTAACCTTGCAGATCTTGCATCTCCTGCGTGCTCACGATGCGTGAAAGCACGACTGTTATGCGGGGGAAGTCAGGATGTTTGTTTCATCCAATACAACGGTGGAAAAAGTCAAGCTGCTCCATCGATAACAGCGGCTCAGCCGAGTAGCATGCTGCAAGAAACCAGAGCAGCTGAATCAGAGATGATCTCGCCAGCCGCCGACCTCCGAGCATATTCAGCACAAGCAAGCTTACTGGATGTCAGCCGCCAAATGCCGATCCTGTACGACGAAGTGTTTCTAACGTATACTCGCTCTCATCTTATCCGAGATCATGGAGATATTTGGTTCGACTCTCGACCCTTAAACTCACTTACTGAGAAGTGTCTCTTGGCACTGTCCACCACGTACTTCGGAGTAGACCATGTTGAGCAACCAATCACTCGCCTCGGCTTGTCACGATATGGGAAAGTATTATCGGATCTCAACAGAGGTCTTAGTGATCCCACAGCTTGCCAGTCCACCGACCTCCTCTTCGCAGTCGTTGTGATGACTCTGTTTGAAGTGAGTATCTCTCCTTGCCTAATGAGAGTTCGCAGGGTTTACTGACAGTAAGATTCAAGTTCTTGATTGGCGACAAAGATAGTGGTTGGGTGCAACATTCACGTGGACTGGAGGAGCTGCTTCGACTTAAAGGGCCAGAATCTATGAAGTCTCTTGGCAGTCTAATCATCCTCGAAAGCTCAAGGTCGTCCATGATCTTTGCTGCCATCTTCTCCGGTCGCCGGACCATACTTTCCCGTGCCGAATGGAAAGCCATTCCCTGGACTGAACATCCAGAGCGCGGTGATGCCATGAAGCTCTTGATCGATATTCTAGCGGACTGTCCCGAACTCTTCATATTGAGAAATGAAACGACCGCCCAACTGCACGGCACCGATCGTTATTCTACGTCTCTGCAACTTTTCAAAAGCAAAGCCTTCAAAGTCCTTGAGGATCTGAAGTTGTGGAGGGATTCGAATCCGAATTTGCTAGACCAATGGATAGACGCACCAACACCAGCAGACTCACCTTTTTGCGTGAGATCTGATGGACAGCGAAGCCTATTTTGGAATACCATCCTCAACTATAAATCGGTTCACCTCGCGAATCTCACCTCACTCTACTACAGTATCTTCATCCTCGTTTCACAGCTTATACAAGGCCTGGCCAATGGCGACGAGTACCAAGGGCTAGAGGAAGAGGTGTATTCTGCAGGAATAATTGTCTGTCGTAGCATTGATTATCACTTGGACAGTGTGCGGGTCGGAGCAGACAGCCTCTTCATCTTCTTTCCAATGAGGATGGCTTTCGATGCTGTGGGAAAGAGTCATGCGGAGGTAGGCACATGGCTGAGAAACAAATTAGAAAGCATCCGTTCACAGTCATCCGGAAGATGGGCGACGGCAAAGTATCTTTTAGACTTGCGAAGCTCCACTATCAGCGTGGGCACGTCTATTGATGAGGTCAGCTAATCGCACATGGGACAAAGAGCTGAGCATGTAGCTATCTACAAGTTCTCTATGATGATAAACTCCATCCTATCCGCTTTCTTATCCTGCTTCTTAGACACCTTGTCAGCCTTCTTCTCGCGCTTAGTCGACTTAGTTTCGCGCTCATCTTGCAGCTTCTCTTGCTTCCTCTCAATCTTTTTGATCTTTTTGTCCATCTTTCTCTCTATCTTGTCGACCTTCCTTGAGTTTGCCTCTGCCATCTTGTGCTCTGATCGGCGCTGTATGTCCTGAATCTTTCGGTTCAGTTCAAGGTCTTCATCGTCGGAACTGGAACTAGATGTATCATCAACGGATCCATAGCGCTCCTTGCTCTTCTGTTTAGACAGCTTCTTCTGTCGCTTCTCCTCCCGTTTCTTCAGTCTCCTCTGGATTTGCTTCGCACTTATTTTGTCGATAACATTTCGCTGCTCCGAGGGCGGTGGGACGTCAAACGAGAGCGAGGCTATGTAGGGTGCGAGGACCCGCATCCGACGCTCTGTAACAGTGGCTGGCGACTCATCTAATCCGCTTGACCTACGAATTTCTCTCTCAGCAACAAATTACCTAGCTTGCACTGAGGAAAAGGCCTGCAATGCAACCTAATCAGGGGGAAAGCAAGGTACTCACTCTAACACGGGTAATACCTCGCCGCAGCCAAGCCGAGCAGCCAAATCTTTGCTCTTACAGATACTCGCCTTGAGTCCTCGTGGTGCAAAATAGTCGCGGTTGCTTGCTTCTAATAACGCTTGCGTTCGCACGCGGGAGACTGCCGCCGTACCTACACCAGCAACTACGGACATTCCGGCCGATGCCGCTTGTGCCCAATGATGTGGCCTAGGTATCGATATGAGGGCAGTGAGTCGAGAAGAGACAACACCGAATAGAATGAGGGGAAAGGGGGTTCTTACACGATACCTATGACTTGGCCAGCCGCATCTAGAGCCTGCAGAGGAGCTGGTGCGGCCTGCGCCACGGCGAGATTGTCGAGAAAATCCACAAAACCTCTCTCGTTGATGCCGTGCTTTCGCAAGTCGGGACTATACGCCCTCATGAACGGGAGCGAAGCTTTAAGGGGGCTACCTATATCGACACGAGGGATAACGACGGGTTTCTGGGTCTCAGTTGGCGATGATCAACGCAGTCGGTCCAAGCACGAGCTCACCTGTAGGCGTTCACCGGCTGACACTGCAGCGGAGTAGCTTGGTGGTGCTTGAGGAGCGTACGGGTACATTGGAGCAAGTTGCTGAGGGGTTGTAGAAGTTGGGAATATGTTGCCGTAGCTATTGGTGCTTTGTTGAGGGCGTGGGTAATGTTGCTGGTTGTATGTAGAATCCATGTTGATAGTGGCAGCTATCATCTCATCAAGAGATTCACTATAAGTGCAGGAAATAATGCAACGCTCCGGGGTTTCGAAAGCTTCTCTGTGATTGAATGCACCCTTTTCTTTATTATTCATTGAGAGAAGAAGACCCGAAGAAGCGTTCATGGAAATTGGATCATTTTATACAAAAATCTCGTCCTGTCGCACCAGTATTCGAAAGACTCGGCTGAGCCATGAGCATAGGCGGCCATCAATTCGACCCGATTTCCCAAAAGGGTGCATTTCTCGAGGCTAAGGTTTTAGCTCCGCTGAGCCGCCAATCTTCTTTGGTCCTCAGAATATTTGATGGTCTGGAGGATTTCCGCTTCGAGTAGTGCGGAACCGTGCTGACTCAATTGAACTTCTTTACATGTCATTATAGGCTTAGAGTTCCTCACATGTGCTGAAGAATGGTACCCATATTTGCACAGCCCGACTGAGCAAGGTTTTGATCATTCTCTAATGCCTCTGATGGCTGCCTCGATGCTATGATCACTGACTGCGGTTTTGGCCGCTGAAAGTGCGGCAATCTAAGAACTCCAGTCAGAAAGACTTGAGTACAACAAACTTCCTATAAGAGCACTGGAAGGCTCTGTGTAGACCGGCCTCATCATGCATATCGTCCCTCGATGCGACTCGAGAGATTATCTCGCTAGGTCATGCAGTGTTCCTTTGAAGATTTTGATATCGCAAACCAAAGGCTGCCAGCAATTTAGCGCGAGTATTCAGCAATCGCAACGTTACCAAACTCCGAGGCTCTTATTTTTGAGCATTTCTCCTCGCACATTTAGTTATTCTCTCAATTTGGAAGTCCCGTGCCAATTCGTTTGAGACGAGAGAAATAATAGGTGGTCAAACAACTCTCTATATCTCTAACTGCATGTGGCAGGTGGCCCAGTGGAAATAGCCCTTCCAGCGCGCTAAACGTGCCAGTTATTGTACAATAGGGCGTAGGACTGACGTTTGCGATGCATGCTCGGAAAATGCACAATGAGTACTGCCTTATAACCCCAAGCACCACATCAACTCGAGTGGAACCGGCAGTGCCCCTAACTTACCCCTCCCTCAACACGGTTCCAAAAGCCTGGACTACACAAAACAAGACCAAAAATGAGCAGCAACAATACTTCCAAAATCGAGCTCATTCCTTGGGATCATACCTCCGAGGACCATGTCGAAAGAATGCGGCAGCAGCGCATCAATTGCGGCTGGATGTCTGAAATGGCCGACATATGGAAGGAGGCTACCGCTAAAGGCATTAAGACTATGTATTGGGTTGTATGACATAATCTCTCTTACAAAAGGACAATGACTTATAAGCGTGAAGGTCTTAGCAGATGATCGCCCAGGGCGAGATGAACAACTTGCCATTCACAAGACAAAATACCCCACAGTGTGTTTCTCCTTATGCCGATGCTCCAATGAAACTCACCTCTAATGCCTTCCCAAGGAAGCTGATCCTATTCTGGATACTGCATCGACACATTGGGGCTCGCCTCGCGTCGCATCTCAGCGGTCTGTCCTTCCCATTGGTCACATTGGGCTCGGTTACCGCGCCAAAGACGATGCAGAGTTCGGCCTTCCCTCAGAGGGTGTTGTCTGGATCGGTCCGCTATACGTGTCTTGGTCGCTTCAGCGAGGCGGAATCGGGCGAGCAACGATGCAGGCAGCTGAGGCGATGGTGGTCAGCCCGCCTTTCAATGCAAAGATGAGCGCTCTAGATGCGATATCTGAGAAATCTCAGTTCTCTCCCGCAATGTTGAACCTGTACTATCTTTCTAAGGGAAACCAGCCCGGGGTGAGTATATCCAATATAATGTGTATTAGTTACTACCATTTTTGACACGATGCTGGGGGTTGCCTGCGCATCTCTAAGGTAGGGAATTGTGGATCAACACGCATGAACTAACCGAGGGATAGATGTCCAATGAAGCATGGTATCGAAAGCAAGGCTATGAAGAATTTCACATGAATCCTGAGGCCTTCTTCTTCACCGATCCAGAGACGGGCGAGAAGACACCTATTCCCACGTACTACTTCAAGAAAATACTTGGGTAAGCGAGGGATAGAGCGAGTACGACTTTGACTATCTAAGAAGACGTAAAGCATTCTGACCGACGACGCATATTTCTAGTCAGGATATTAGTTGGGTGATATAGGCAGTCGTACCAGTTGTCTCCACTAGATCGACGTCAGAAGTTCGGCTGACCCGGCCTCCAAAATTCCTATGCCTCTCGGAGCTGGGCTTCATTCTTGCAGATTCATCTGAAATATCGGCTCGAGTCGCCCTAACTCAGGCAACTGGAATTGGCCGAGAGGCTTGTAAGTGCTACGAATAGCATTCGGGCTCGGGAGAAACGAGCTGGCTGCGGAAATGGAGGACTCGGACATGCTCAATCCAACATTGAGTGTGTCATGATGCTTAGGTGACAGAGGATGCCTAGAATGGTGGGGAGAGACACCTAAGCTTGATTCTGTATTCAACATCACAAATAACATGTCACTGGACTGAAATATGTTTGGCTGTTTCCTATTTCCTTAACGAACCACCAAAGTTGGTCTTCATTATTTTCGCTTGGGGGCCCGTTAAGCCGATCCAGCTATCTGCGGAGCGTTCCATCTTGGATAACAGGATCCCAATTTTCTAGAAGACTTGGTAGAGGTATTTAGTTTCATTATCAAATATTATTTGAGATCCATGTCAAATCTAAGTAAAGAATTGAGGTTATCTATCAGGTTGATACTCATTTAGGCTTAGCGCCGGGAGTTGCATGCTGCTGTTGATTTGCCGTTATCAATGATGGTCTTTCGGACCGTCCGACAGGAAGATGATAAGCATTGCGGTCTTTGATTCTCCAATCATCGTATAATCTTATGACGAGATGATGGATGGCAATTCTTTGTCAATTACTTCCTCATTCATATATTGCTTCTATTCCACTTCAATCCTTCAAATCGCGTTTTACATCCAGCACAAAAACTCTTGGCTCAGTAACTATCAAGTCCAGGCCACTTAACCCTCACCAACATGGCAGTGGACGATGACCAAAGCAGCCCGTCACCCTTTGGGGATACAGCCCAAGAAGACATTCGTCTAGAACACCTAGGCTATCATCAGGGTAAGCTTGAAAAGTCTCCAAATGGTATTGCTGGCGACTAATAACTATTTGCCGGTAGAGCTTAAGCGGTCTTTTGGGTTGCTCGGAATGATAGGTTTCAGTTTCAGTATTGTTACATGGTAAGCAAAACCAGCGAATGCACACAGATGAGGTATTTGCTAACTCTGTTTGTAACAGTTGGACAGCACTTAGCGGTGTCTTTATCGTCGGCGTGAATGCTGGTGGCCCACCCGTGATGGTGTACAGTTGGATTGCTGTCTCATTGATATCACTCTGTGTCGCGCTACCCATGGCAGAAATGTGCTCAATGTACCCGGTTGCTGGAGGTCAATACTCCTGGGTAGCTATTCTGGCGCCACCACGTGTGGCGCGCGGATTCTCATATGTTGCCGGCTGGTTCATGCTCATTGGTATCATTGCAATGGGCGCGACAAACAACTTTGTCACAGCCAATTTCATCCTTGGCCAAGCGAATCTCGTCTTTCCTGAATATGTCATCCAGCGTTGGCAGACGGTGTTAATGGCTTGGCTTATCGCTTTCATCGCCACCGGTATCAATCTTCGAGGCCCGCAACTCCTCAACAAAATTTCTCATGTCCTTCTGTGGTGGAATATTTGTTCCTTTATAATCATTACGGTGACAATCCTTGCTACCAACGACAATAAGCAGCCAGTGTCCTTTGTCTTCAAGGAATTCCAGAATTTCACGGGCTGGGGTTCCGGTATGGCGGCAATCATCGGTATTCTCCAATCCTGCTTTGGCATGTGCTGTTATGACACCGCAGCGCATATGACTGAGGAGATGAAAAACGCCTCCAAGGAAGCCCCCACTGTAATTGTATCTTCGGTGGTGATGGGGGCCGTTACGGGACTTGGATTCCTTTTAGCTCTCTGCTTCTGCATTGGAGACATTGAAGCAACCGCAAACACGTCCACAGGAGTGCCGATTATACAGATATTCTACGATTCGACCGGTAGCAAGCTTGGTGCATGTTTTCTCACCAGCATGATAACCGTCATTGCGATTTTCGCTTCGAACAGTCTTCTGGCAGAGGGTTCTCGCGCTGTGTACGCCTTCGCCCGCGACCATGGTCTCCCCTTTTCGAAATTTTTTGCTCGAGTCAACACTAAGACTCAAGTTCCAGTTTATGCCATTGGCCTCACACTCGGCGTGCAGATGGCCCTGAATGCAATTTACTTCGGCACACTGACCGGATTTGAGACAGTCATTTCTATTGCTACAGAAGGATTTTGTAAGCCTTTTTTATTCATGACTCGGTAACTCATCTAACACAGCGCCATAGATCTGTCCTATGCCATGCCGCTTTTGTCACGTCTTTTGGCATATTACACCGGCCATTTCACTGCATTTACCGGCCCTTGGGCAATGTCGGTTCCTGTGTCGCTGTGCTTGAACGCTATCGGGCTGACCTATCTGCTATTTGGATCCATCACATTCAACTTTCCATATAGCGCCCCTGTTGACAAGGACTCCATGAACTATACATCTGCAGCCATTGGTGTAATTGGTGTCATTAGTGTAATTACATGGATGACAACAGGCCATAAACATTTCACAGGTCCAAGGCTTGGACCTAGCGAGAAGCCCATCATTGGCGAGGATTTAGCAGCAGCAGCCGCTCCTAGAAACGAAGAGCTTGCAGTCAAGGCAGGCTAAATACGGCTATGTTGTGCAGAATATGTAGTAAGATAGACTGCTGGAGCTCATGTACAATGGAGAATATCTCTTTACACTTTGTTCACCGGCTTATATGGGGAGGTACTCGACCAAAGACTATGCGCAAATATCGGGATGGAGCAATTGAGTTCATCCTGACTAAATGACCTTGCTCTCCGGGCTAGTATTTTCCAAACGCAATCTTCGCGCAAAGCTTACTAAAGATACTCGATGAAGCTGAATAATGGTAGTCTACTCCTGTGTAATTGGGGTTTTACGCCCCCAATGCTATTAGCCGTAGGTCCATGGCGCCCTGCCAGGATATCAAGCTCTCAGGGCCCAATCGCGCCTAGAGGAGCCTCAAGGCGGAAATGGAGACATATCGTTGGTGGAGGACCGACTCTGTTCTTGCAACTGTTGCAGCCATCTCTCCGGGGCCATTTAACTTGAGGATAATGTTTCGAACTACCGAGAAGCTTATCTAGTACGACGGCACGCACCGAGCACGTTCCGTAACCTAAATCTTGAGCTGAAGTGCATAATTGGAGATCGGCCGCCTTATTTCCCCTTTGCTGCACGCTACGGGATGCGATATCACCAACCCGGTTCTAAAATTATCGAGCGTTTATTCATCCCAAACAAGCGAGACCTGCTTGTGGCTGCATACTGCACGCGACTGCATCAGTACCGAATGATACTGCTGACGTGAGATTGGCGGCCGCTGGATGTCGCTTACCAGGGGGTTGCAACATCATCTAACCGGAAGTGACCTTAATGTATCTTCAATCATCAAAAAGCACATGGGCCTTGGCATTTGCTGTATCGAAGAAAAGGATGCGAGCCTGCTCACTTTTTTTTCGAGGGGGCGGTTTCCTCTCCACCTCGCTCTGCTTATGCAGGAGACGCGTTCAATTGCTTGTGTATAACGGAGTCGCGATGGACCACCACCAGCACGGCATGCAGCAACCCAATGGCTCAGGGATGGATGCAAATTATTTTGTACCGCAACAAGGTGTTGTTGCGGAGAAGGGTCCAGTAATGGCGGCACAGCCAGGCTACGCACCATACCAAGATGGGCAATACCAGCATCCTGATCCTCAGTATCAGCAGTACCCGGCCGAGTACAACGCGCCGGTGACCGGGTATCCACCTGCGGAATCCGGCTATCCAGCTGCTGCTACTGCGCCGCCGACGGTCCTCGGGATGAAGCGCGGGACGTTCTTCGCCGTGGTTGGCGTGACGGCCGTTTTACTCGCGCTTGTCATTGGCCTCGGCGCCGGACTGGGTGTCAGCCAGAAGAATCTACACGATAAAGAGGGAGAGCTCGCAGACATCCAAGCCAATCTCACTGGGTGCGTATATTGACGTGTAAAGATTCCTGTCTTGGCATCGACGTCTAATAATCAATAGTTCTGGTTCTCCGACAGTATTTGTGACTGTAACACCAAGCGCGAGTGCTACAAAGACCTCGGCCACATCCTCGCCAACTACATCATTCGTCAATGAGTGCCCGAAGTCAAATAACACCGTCTACACAGCAAGCTCTGGTGGCAAAGAGTTTCGCAAGTTTTGCGGCATTGACTATGGCGGCAATGGCGAGGCAGACGACCTGGGTAATGTCAAGACCAAGAGCATGGATGCTTGTATTGATGCTTGCGCTGCGAAGTCGAGCTGTGAAGGTGCTGGTTGGGGAATTTTGGATGGAGACCAAGGAAATCTCCACTCTTGCTGGATGAAGACAAACCTGACCAAGAGCCACAATGCTACAGCTGATTGGAATTTTGCTATACTGATCGACTCTGAGGAGTCATAGACTAGAGAGCCCCCACCGTGTCTGATTAATTCAATTGTATTTCTAGCGCTGATTATATAGCGAGCGTTGGATTGGAATCACTTGGTAATCAAGGGTGCTTGCGTCTAGAGAGGCTGTTGTGCTGGCGGTGTAACCAGCATGCTATATGATTGAGAGTCTGTAGGAACATGTATCGGCCAAACTCCTTCTCACTTTTTCTACTGATGGCACCTCGCATTGGCTCAGTGTCATGATAGACCCCTCAGAGCACTATCGAAATCTCGAAACTCTTTGAGCAACAGGCCTCAGTGCCGTCTAAAGCCTTCTCTATTCGGTCTAGATATTTGTCTAGCAAAGTTAAGTTTGATATGCGTGCCGCCCGCCATGTCTAGAGGCTACCAATGAACTCCGGTATAGCCACTAGTTAGGTAGGTACATCGTGTTCAACAAGCCCTCGCAGAACCGGGTGATAGAATCCCGTCCAACCTCGAGTGCGCCGTCCATAGCCAAGAACGGGTGCGGCATGCCCTTGTAGATTGTGACCTTCGCCTCGACGCCTGCCTTCTGCAGTTTCTCGGCGAACTGCTCGCCCTCCGTTCGAAGTACATCCAGCCCTCCCAGCACCATCACAGCAGGCGGCAGCTTCGACCAATCGCCCTCCCACAGCAACGGACTTGACTCCGGATGTGCCCAGTCCTCCTGGTTGGGTAGGTAGTGTCTCCTGTACCAGAGCATCTTCTCTGCCGGTAGCGCCGGCACGAACTCGTTCTCCTTGTACGATTGGTTGTTAGTCGTGTCGGCTGTGTTGTCCATCACGGGCACGGAGAGCAGCTGCAGCGAGAATTTTGGTCCGCCGCGCGCAACTGCTCGTTGGCACATTATGGCTGCTAGATTGCCGCCTGCGGATGAGCCGCCGGTCGCCATCTTGTCTGTGTTCAGCTCCAGAATCTCCTTGCCCTCGCCCAACACCCAGAGTACTGCCTCCCAGCAGTCATGCACGGCTGCGGGATACGGGTCCTCAGGAGCTAATCTAAAGGAATATCTTTAGCATCGTAAGTCTTATTAAGGGTGGAATCTTGTCTGTACCTGTAATCCACTGACACAACCACACTCCGACCACGCGAACATAGGTTCGTTGACACGACATTCTCCGTGTCAATGTTGCCGAGCACCCAACCGCCACCGTGGAAGTAGATCATAACTGGCCATCCTCCGTCAGGCTTCTGCCCCTGAGGCGTGAAACACCGCACCTTGACGTCCGGTCCTGTGCTCTCCTTCCGCGTGATAGCATAATCGGCAGTCTTCCCCACCGGCAGCAGCGGTCCGGCGCCGGGAATGAGAACACCACTTGTTCTTGACGCTTCTATGGGCTGTAGATGTACCTGCTGTTTGTCGAAGATGTGCTTGTTGTAGAATGCAGCGTAGTCTTGGTCTATCCTGGCGAGGACGCTGTGGTGGAGGGGGTATGGGGGCTGCGGGCCCGTGGAGGCGGCTTGCTCCTTTGGGGGGTCTTGTAAGTCAAGGGAACCCATTGCCGCGACTACTTGAGGCAAGATGATGAGATCACGATTGACGCTTGATTACTGGAATAGTACACAGCAGCAGCAAAGGCGGGTTTTATTTATAGATTATCAGCGAAAGGATACAGTTCAATGAGTTACAAGTAAAACAGCAAGTGAATCAGAGGGACTTGTAATTAGAAGCTAGGATGAGATGACCGACATTCGCTGGTCAGCGAGCACGGGGCGATCTCGATGTTTTTCAACGGCTTCTCCTGGCCAGGAGACAGGGAAGCAGAGCCAAGCTCCGGTATGGAGCTGCGAACTGGGTCCGCTCCATCATTCATGGATCAATCAGTGTCTCCGGTGAAGATGCACGCTACCGTGGCTCTTATCAGGATACGGACACTTATCACCGATGACGGTGATGAAAGTGGACCGGACTAACTGACCAGTAAATGCGTCGGACACGATTCAGGGCATAGGGGTTGCTTTGGTGGGGGTCAGACCGAAGAGTTGCAAGCTGGACGAGATCTTGAACCAGCCAAAACGTCGCTGGAGCGTGATGTCAGGGTCTTGTTGTTGTTGCATGAGAGGACGGCCCATCCGAGAAGCTGGGAATGCATCCCCTGAATCATTAGAGGCCAGCGTCGCAGAGGCGTGGCAAGGACAGCGACGCAGGGTGCCAGATGAATGTCGCGTCTTCCGGGGAAATGCTCAGCAAAATGGGGTTCTAGAATACGTCATGCAGGGTTATGCATGCCAGCGTGGGGGGTTTTCCGTGAGCGACGATCGGCAGAAACGTCGTGTCGGGGAAAAAACCCAGGACACGTCCACGATGCTGCTGACCGCATCGAAATCGCAAACCGGGCCGTTTTCTTTAGGGCCCTCAAAAGGACAGTTCAACGTTGCAAAGGATGGAGATGGTGGCATCTTCTTATTATTACCCCTCATCTGGGATACTGCGCTCATTAAGCTGTATCTAGCCGTACCCAAAACGCAGTCTTAGTGTGACCGGCTCGTGTCCGGACTGCCGCCGAGTTCAAGTGGGACCTGCAAGAGACTGGGGCGCCGAACCACGGCGGCGCGAAGACTGAGCATCGTCGGAGAACAGTCCGCCAGCACAAAGAATTTGATTCCGACGCTGTGACTTGGCCCGTGAACAGCCAAATTGACGAATTGAAGCATCAAAACAACATTGCCAACCCATTCTGCAAGATGTCTCAACTCGAGTTCTTCTTGCCCGCCGCGAAGGCAGCTCTCTCGGAGAGATATGTGGGCAAGTCCATTCGCGATGTGCCTACACCGGCAGCGGTCATGGACGTGTCGGCGGCAAAGAGGAATTGCGACAACATGCTTGAGGCGTGCAAGAAGCTTGGGCTAGAATGGAGAGCGCATGTCAAGACGCACAAGACAGCTGAGCTCACCAAGCTCCAAGTTGGAGATGATGTCGACCGGCCCGTCAAGATTGTCATTTCTACTCACGTGGAAGCGGAATTCCTGCTTCCAGTATTGCAGGAATATAAGAGTCAAGGAAGGAAGGTCAATGTTCTCTACGGGCTTCCGGCTGCTCCTGGGGATGTCACTCGCCTTGCAGCTGTTGCCAAAGCGCTTGGAGAGGGCAGTATCAGCGTGCTTCTAGACGACCCGGCTCAACTACCGGGTCTTGCGAGCTTCAAGTCCCAGGCCGGGGGCGTTGTGCCCCATGCGCATATCAAAATCGACATGGGCGGACGCCGAGCTGGTGTAGAGGTGGAGAGTGACCGATTCGCCCAGGTCGTTGAGGCAGCACTCGCCGCTCATCGCGAAGGCAACATCATCCTCTCTGGGCTTTACTCGCACGCAGGACACTCATACGCCGGCGATAGTCGAGTGGCAGCTATGAAGATGATGGGTGCGGAGCTCAGTGCCATGCTCACGGGAGCGGGTCGCCTGACGACCATCGCTAAGGATGCAGGCGTTGCGGTCCCGCCTCTGACACTTTCCGCCGGCGCCTCGCCTACTGCATTGTCTGTGCAGAACCTGCTGTCAGAGGGGAGTGTGGATGAGAAGGATTCTGAGCTACATGCCGCAGCATCTAGCCTCTCTGCACTCTTTGACACCATCCGCGAGCGCAGCCATGTGGTGGAGATCCACGCTGGAGTCTACCCAACGCTCGATCTGCAGCAGCTTGCGGCACACAGCGTCTCCACCTCCCTAGTCTCATGGAAGGACATTGCCTTCACTGTTCTGGCAGAGGTGCATAGCAACTACCCTGGCCGCGGAGCAGACGGACGACCGGAGGTTCTGATCGGGGCCGGCATCTTCGCCCTGGGTCGGGAGACCTGCAAGGCATACCCAGGCATGGCTATGGTGACACCGTGGGGGCGTAAGGACGTCGAGATGCCTACAGTGGACGTAGAGCAATACGAAGGCTGGATCGTGGGCAGATTCTCGCAGGAGCATGGCATCTTGACCTGGCGATCAGTGGGGGAGAAGACTTCCGGAAAGGGGCAGCTGCAGGAACCAGACGCTCTAGAAGTCGGGCAGAAGGTCAGGCTCTGGCCAAACCATTCATGTGTCACCGGAGCTCATTTCGGCTGGTACTTTGTGGTGGACGAGAGCAGGGAGGGGAAGGAGGATGAAATTGTGGATATTTGGGTCAGAGCCAGGGGATGGTAGAAGTCGCTATGCTTACTGTAGTGTAGTCTGGGGTGTCTCCACATCGGTGGTGATGGATGCTGCCCTCCCTCCCCCCTGCGAGCCCTGGTCTCCCACTCTGTGGGGGTGGCGGCCACCAAGCTTCTACCACATCCTCGTACATACACACGTACAGTACACACTTACACCAGACAGGCCATCGTGCTCACCTGCCTCGTCAGGCGGTGAGGTCCGGCTGAGCCGCATCAATATGTTACTCGCTGGCGAGGTCGGCTTCTCCTCCCCACCTCGTCGTAGACATCTCCACAAAATCCAAGAGACCAGTTCCGTTCCTGATCCCGAACCTATTCTCGTCCAACATGATCGGCCTCTATCCAACATTTGAGATGAGCTAATACGTACTACCTGATGACCCCATTGCCCTAATCACGGCGACTGACCCCTAGGGCCGCCTAGTCTCCGGGATCTACCTCAATAGTTGTTTGTCATGGAATCCTGTCACTGGTGGTTGGCCTCAGTGGTAGTAGTCACGGGCTGCTCGATTAAACATACTTTAGACTCCAGCTACCATGTGGACAAGTCTCTTAAACCATGGGCTTAAGTATACGACACGTCTCCCGTCTCGCCGGATCCCCGTTGAATAACCCAAACCGGTGCCCTAGACGACTCCCCGTCCTTTGCATGGTGCAAGTCTCAAGTGGTTCTTCCTCCCCTCTCTCACTCCCTCCCAGTACTCTTGTCTTCTCCACAAGACAATGACCCTACCGGCAATGTCTCCCTCAGCTCAACTAGACATCGAAGGCGGGCGGAGCCGCACTAATGGCCACGACGGCGGGCGAGCCCTAGTGCCCGGCGTCTATGTGCCGACAGTAGTCTTCTTCGATGCCAACACTGAGGCTCTGGATCTCAAGGCGCTATCCCGGCACTCGGTACGCCTAGCTCGCGCCGGAGTCACCGGTATAGCGGTCCAAGGGTCAAACGGGGAGGCTGTCCACTTGACTCATGACGAACGGCAACGCATCATCCAGACAACGCGGACGGCGCTGGACGACGCCGGCTTCACCTCCATGCCGGTGCTCGTTGGCTGCGGCGCCCAGTCCACAAGGGAGGCCATCGATCTGTGCGAGCAGGCACACGAATATGGCGGCGACTATGCTCTGGTTCTGCCGCCAAACTACTACAGAGGCTTGTTCAATGCATCCACGATAGCAGAGTACTTCACGGCCGTGGCGGACGCTTCGCCCATTCCTCTAATCATCTACAACTATCCACAAGCTACGGGCGTCGATCTCACCTCTGACGCGCTCATCTCCCTGGGGAGCCACCCGAACATCGTTGGATGCAAGTTCACCTGCGGAAACACAGGCAAGCTAGGCCGCGTTGCCTCCGCCTTCACCGGCGCAAAGACCGGCAGCCTTCTCTGCTTCGCCGGCTCGGTGGACTTCTTCCTGCCGAGCCTGATCACCGGCAGCGCGGGCGTCATCGGAGGTCTTGCAAACATCTCGCCCAAGGCCGTCGTGCGTCTGCTCCAGCTGTACCAGCAGGGTCGCGACGAGGAGGCGAATGTTCTGCATGATGTGCTCGGGCGCGCGGACTGGGCGGCCATCCAGACGGGCGTCGTCGGGACCAAGGTTGCTATGGAGGAATTCTATGGCTACGGAGGCTGGGCGCGCAAGCCGCTCCCCCGGCCGGAGGGCCTGGAGAGGGCGAAGATCATCGACGGATTCAGGGAAATCGTCGAGTTGGAGAAGACTCTCTGAAGCAGCGGGCTGTTCAGGGGGGTTTACGTGGGGACTTGCATTGAAAGGGGGCCAAAAAAGGTGGTGGCACTAGTCTTTACCTCTTGCTCATGCGCTGATATTTCTGTCTCATGATTCTTTCATGCCAAAAGTCTTAGCATTTTCAAATAATATCAACATGATCTTCCTCGATAAATCACATTGCGGAGAAGCGGTGCTCCACCAAGCCCGCGTAAGGGATGCCCGCGTAAGCTATCGTGCCCACGCATGGCCACGCCGTAGGTTTTTCTCCGCATTCTTTTTATGATAGGTCGTTGAAGCGGTCCATTGAGCTGTTTGGGCAGTCATTGCGTGATAATGCCCAGTATAGCTAGTAATATTAGTAATTGTTGTTCTTAATTGTATGCTAATATTCTATACTGCGGGAAGAAGCGCTAGTGGAAATCAACAGCAGATACTAACATACCGGCGTGGAAACTCATTGGAACTCATCCATATATCCATGCAGGGCTTCTTAGACTTTGGTAATGAATCACATTTTAGAGGCTGGAGCAGGTGGGCTAAACGAAGTTTTACTTTTTGATACTCTATAAGTTTTGTTCTATTGAATGCACCTACTGCACCGCAACGCATTCAATCTCAACGTCAGTGTTTAGGGGCAGAGTCTTAACGGCGACGCATCTAAAATGTCTGTTAGCATATGCATACTAACGGCAGAGGATGAGTAATAGAGGATGAACTCACGTCCGGCAGGGCTTAATATCGCCCCAGTAGGTGGTGTAGACCTCGTTCATGGCAGCAAAGTCGTCCATGTTGGAGAGGAAGACATTGACCTTGACGACGTTGTCAATGGTGGTGCCAGCAGCCTCCAAGACGGCAGTCAGGTTCTTGATGCATTGGTGCTGTGTCTCATATTAGCCTCACGTATCGTTCCACACGTCAGGGAAGCAAAGTCAAAAACTCACAGTGTGCTCCTTGATGCCACCCTCAACGATCTTGCCGGTCTCAGCATCCATGGCAACGGCGCCGGAGCAGTAGACAAAGCCACCGGCCTTGATGGCCTGGCTGTAGATGCCCGGGAGAGGCTTGGGAGCCGCACTGGTAAGGACGGGGGTTTTCTTGGCAGACATTTTGACAGTGATTTCTGGTGAATGTGTATTTGAGTGAGTGAGTGAGTGAGAAAGTGTGTTGCCCAAAGCAGAAATAAGCTTATCAGATGAGAATCAGGGATTATCCAGAGGTGGGGGAACGTGTGTGACAAGGGTTGGTTGGTCTGTTCCGGACGATCCTACGTCGGAAAAGGATGTGTGGTGAGTCTGGATGAATCCGAGCAAAGTAGACACAACACAACAAGACAAGAATAGTAATAACAGGGAGGAGAAGGAAGAGAAACCCGACAACCAGAGTCTCGGGCGCAAAAAGAAATAACAATGAGAGCAACGTTACCCGCAAACAGCCTATCGGGATGAACTGCCCAACTGCCCGCGTTGGTGATCTGGCGGTGGAGTTTCCCGACTCTTGAGAGGGGTTTGAGGGGTTCGAGATGACCCCCGTAGCCCGTCTCCACTGACCCCCACTTAGCCATGCTGCCCGCGCAAGACACCCTACTGCATAGTAGATGCCCTAGGGCTCCCCTAAGACGTTGCTTAGGGGCAGGCGACGCCGCTAGATGTCTCCCTTATCCTGTTACTCAACAGCGTAGTAAGTCTTAGCTAATTGATAGGGGAACTCCACCTTCGTCGAAGGCAGCTCTTGGCCTGAATCCATGGACTCGGCCCTTCTTGTAGCTCAAGCTGGCAAGTTGCTGGGGTTTCACCAGATTCTCAATGAGATGTAGCTATATAGGGCGATTATGCGGGGGAGGCTTGAGATCAATCAGGGGGAGGGCAGATGGCTCTCATCAAACCGCTGCCATACATGACTGGTTTGCTATCGAGCTGACCAGGGCTGAGACCCCCAACTCCCCACCGTCTCAGGCATCTCGAACAGCAGTGAGCTAGAGCTGCCAGAAAATGAAGCCGTCGGAAATTTGGACGTGACATGGGACGATTTGAAGCTGGGGGAGTGTGGCAGATGTGACGATGCTAACCTTTTTGACAGCTGCAGCCTTCCTGATCGATGTAAGTCTAAGCAGCTAGGATTGCCATCATCTCGACTGATAACAATACAATACACACACTTAGACACACAACCTACACGAAAAGAGAGAGACTAACAAGCCTAATCAGCCGCTCTCCGGAGGCGCCGCTGACATCTTTCAATGTTATCTGGATTCGGCCCAATGCTGCGCGAAAAGTGCCACCGCGCGCCGCGCGCCGCGCACCGTTGCCAAGTCCCGGCAGGGTTTTCCTTGATAGAGCGCCCAGTAGACTAGCAGTGGACTTGTAGAGATAAGCTTGTCGGGACGCTCACTGGTCAGCCCCGGGGCGGAACCGGCCCTGATTGGGAAGGACATGGGGTTGATCTCCAGAGATACGAATTGAAACTACGAGTAAGTCACTTCTCCGCGCGAAAACGTTATTCGCTTTGCAAATATCTCTCTCTCGCTCTCTGATAGTCATTCGCTCACTCATTCAATGAACCACGGTACCCTGCTGAGCATGCATCTTCTCTCCCAAACGGGTGGCAATGGTAGTACATAGTACTGTATGTCGTGACAATGAGCGATTAGATAGCCCTGCAGATGATGATGGCTGACCCCCGACGATCCTTCCTCCGCGCAGTGGCAGCCCTGCAGTGAAGCCAGTGTACGGTAACCTCCATTGGTAGCAATACCCGACCAACCGTGCAAAACCTTATATTGTGATAGATAATAAGCCAATGTAACACGTACTGTACCGATAATATATCTCGCACCACGCGAGACATCGTCTTAATAAAAGCCTCGTCCCGTCCCGGTGCCTTGGGTCTCTATTCTGCTCTGGGTCCCTCGACTTGCCATCCGACCTCTGCTGCTTCCTTGCATCTGCAACATCTGCACCGCTGGTCCACGGACACACAAAAAGGGACAATTACAATGTCGATCGCAGACAAGGATACCTCCGTCGAGGTCAACCCTCCGACCAAGGACGGCAAGGTGGTCGCCGATGGCGATGGAAGCGACCTCGAGAGCTCCCAGAGCGGCCCCGGCGTCGTCGCCGAGACGGCACGCGTCCTCGACCACGCCGCCGAGGTTCGTCTCTGCCGCAAGTTCGACATCCGCATCCTGCCCTTCCTGGCTGTCATGTACTTGTTCAATGCCCTCGATAAGGGCAATTTAGGCAATGCACAGACAGATGGTTTGAGCGATGGTGAGTACTTGGCATGTCCTTTATGTGACTGTATACACATGGACTTACACGCTCCACAGACCTTCACTTCAAGGACGGCCAATACAACCTGATTGTCTCCATCTTCTTCGTACCATATGTCATCTTCGCGCCTCCAATCGCCATGCTCGGCAAGAAATTCGGACCAGCACGTGTTCTGCCCATCATGATGTTCACCTTCGGCTCTATGACGCTCCTATCCGCATCCGTCCAGAACTTTGGCGGCATCTTCGCCCTACGATGGTTCCTCGGCATGGCAGAGTCGGCCTTCTTCCCCCTCGTCATCTACTATTTGACCACCTTCTACCGTCGTGGCGAGCTTGCTCGGCGATTGGCCATCTTCTACGCCGCTTCTAACATTGCCAATGCCTTCAGTGGTCTCTTGGCTTTCGGCGTGTTCCATATCAAGTCCAACATGTTCGCATGGCGTTACCTCTTCATTATTGAGGGCTCCGCCTCTGTTCTCTTCTCATTCGTTGCCTTCTGGTATCTGCCCAAGAGCGCGGCTACAGCGAAGTTCCTCAACGAGGAGGAGAAACATCTAGCCTTCTATAGAATTCAAGTCGACTCGTCATCTGTCGTCGGAGAAGAGTTCAACCTGAAGGATGCCCTCAAGATCTTCACCTACCCGAGCACATACGGTTTCTTGCTCATCGAAATTTGCCTTGGTGTCCCACTGCAGTCTGTGTCACTGTTCCTGTAAGTAAATTCTCGAATGCAACCTCGTAGCACTCCCGGCGCTAACACCACCCGCAGGCCCCAAATCGTGCAGCGCCTAGGCTACTCCAAGGTCAAGACGAACCTGTACACCGTCGCGCCCAACATCACTGGCGCAGTGATGCTGCTCATCCTAGCCTTCAGCTCCGACTTCACGCGCCTGCGCTTCCCGTTCATCATCCTCGGCTACACCTTCACCTTCATCGGCTTCATCATCTTCGCCTCCATCACCGACGTCGAGGCCCAGATCCGCGTCGCCTACTTCGCCACCTTCATGATGTGCTGGGGCACCTCAGCGCCCTCGGTCATCCTGTCCACCTGGTACAACAACAATGTCGCCCACGAGGGCCGCCGCGTCACGCTTACCTCTGTCGGCGTCCCGCTCGCCAACGTCATGGGCTTGGTGTCGAGCAACATCTTCCAGACGCATGACGCCCCCAAGTACCTTCCGGCTCTGATCACCACGGCTTGCTTCGGCGCGACTGGTGCGCTTGTCACGGCGTGCTTGGGCGCTTACATGATCTTCGACAATAAGCGTAGGAATCGCAAGGCGGGCATCAAGATTGATGCCCGGGATGTGCCGACCCAGAGATTGCGGGATGGACCGAGCTCGCCTGAGTTCCGATGGTTTTTGTAAAGTGGAAATTGTTGTCAAAAAGTTGTGCTGTTGGAATTGTAGTGGTGGGTTGATTTTAAAAGATAGTCAAAACTCTTGCATTTAGGCAAAACAGCCTCAGATGCTTTAATGCTAAGTTGTGTGTATCGCCATATTCATGATCTGACGATTACTTCGAAAAAAAGTCTATCTTCCATTCTGAGGAACTCCCTTCCATTCCTATTCCAAACACAACCTGTTTATCAGAAGCTTGTCTGTCTGGCGCTTCACGATGACGAAATCATCGTCCGATCAACGGAAGATTCTAAGCGTTTGACCATTTAATGATGATAGAGAACGATAGTCCATCACATTCGCAATTTAAATCATTTCTGAAAGATTCAGGCTTCAGTGCAATCCGCAAGGACACGCCGGGATTCAAGTCCTTCAACTCCAAAGACCTCTGCACAACTTGGACCGGGAGCCCTTCGAAAATGAAGAGATTGAAGGAGACAATTCCATCCCATTTTTTGACGCGACTGATACTTAGCACTATTCTGTCTTTGAGATTTGAAGTAAAAACTTACAAAGTTTCTCTGCTTACTTGAGAATATCTCCAATCTTTCGCCTTAATTTGCGGAGTAGTAATGGGATTGTTGAAAACATCCTTGCTTGCAATAGGGAGAAACTTGAGAGAGTCAAAATTTGTAGCAATGTGACTGGTCAGTATCCATTGATGGGTTTCCTGTATCGTGATCAATAGGACTGGATCTTTGAAATGTTTCAGCCCGGTCACGTCTGCGACTTCCATGGTCAGTTCCGCACGTAAAGACCTCGATGCTGGCTTATCAAAGCCAAATGGTCGCCAAGAATATAAAGCAGTGGTATCCCAACATAGATTTCTAAATTCTTGGTTAGAAATGATATCTCAAGTCAGATTATATACTTGGCCAAACCTGGCTTACTTTTTGTCGATCTCTTGCCACGCCTGGTCGACATTGAAAATTGGAGTGATGATTGATGGTGATAACTGCACAGAATCTCGACCAATACTTCTGCCGAAATCTTCAATGTTGCGATCATGAATGGTGACAAAACCTTTGTTCAGCTGTGAGCTTACAGACAAAGTGTCTGCAGCGGCAATAACTGAGGCTGTCTGCTGTAAGTTTCGTTGTACGGAGATTCTGAGATCGCTGTGCTCTTGGCTCTCATCTTGGTAGCAGAGGCTTTCTGGATGAGGTCTTTCACCCCTGGCATACTTTTGGGTATACTCTCTTGCCACTTCTCGAAACCGTTGATGATCTGTGATATACAGTTCGGCAATCTCAGGCACAAGAGGGTCTTCGACATTCGGACTTGCCAACAAAGCGCACAGTGCAGTCAATAACGCGCCTAGGGAGTATCGACTTGAGGCTCGCTCTGAAAACCACCAGTCGTTGCTGCCCCCGGCTAAAGCCTTGGTATTAAATAGATGGCGATTCAATTCGTTGTCGTTCCACCAAGACTGATAGTCGGCACATATGAGGCCGCTAGAGTCTATATTTGGATGAAAGATTTTTGTTTGGAATCTCAAGGACGGTGCTAGGGATGGATTGCCTGCTGGTATCTTGACAGTGATCCAGAATATCCCTCCTTCGTACGGCGTATCGGGTGGTCCTTCAATGCTTGCGAGAATCTTGTCTAGGCTGTCTTCGACGGGGGCAGCACTAACGAAAGGCACATTGACATGCCTTAAAGTCCTCAGCTCCAAGAACATCCTTCGCGCTACGGATTGTCCTTTGTCCGCGTTGAGAGAAAGACGTAGAGATTTATCTTTCCACATTTCTTCGTCTTCTGCCTTGACTTTGGCAATTGCATCTCCGTAATTCGACTCCCCAGATGTAAAGCTGAGTTCTGGCAAGTTGGCGCCTTTCCTTTTCAACAATTCGGACACAACTCGTTGATTCTGAGGAATATCTAAAAGTGCGGGTACTTCAGCAGCCCCTTTCTCAGCAACATTATTCGTCATCTCAATCTTGGTCGGTCTCGTGTTGTCCGTGGGTAGACTTTCCAGGCTCACGGACTCTATCGTATCGGAAACAACGGACATCGAATACAGTGGCGATTCTGCGGACTCGCCGAGATGATCCTCTTCAATATCATCCTCGCCAATGATATTTGAAATTTCATGCTGAATAGATTCTGCAGTATAGAAAGACCGGCTACTGCCTGTAAATTTGGAGACGGAAGGTACCGCCCTAGATGACGCCGGCCTCGTGACCAGGCTTAATCGGTGGCTGGCAGTATCTGAAACAAGCCGCTGCGAGACGGATGTACGTTGGCTCGAAGCGACTTCTTGAAGAAGCCGTAGGCTTTTAGTATCGGAGATCGATTCAATCTCTTCCTTCAACAAGGCCCGTTGCTGCTCGAGAAGGCCAAGCGAGCTCGTGATTCCCTCAAGACCGTCCATGAGGTCCCTGATCTTGTTGCTCAAGGCTTCAAATTTAGCGGAGTCGTGAATGGACCAGCGTGTGACAGCCCAGGCAGACTTGTCCTTCTGGTTCTTCCGGATCCGGCCACGAAAAGCCTCAAAGCGCTCCCTAAAGATCATCAGTCCCTTGGCCGGCATGACTTGCACGGCTTTACCACCATCTTTTAATTCGTAACGATCAGTCACGACATCCGCTTTCCCCAGCAGCAGTTGCAAGTGGTTGAGCGATGATGCGATGGCCGGTCGGATGTCCGGGCGATCAACTGCTTTGTTATACGGAATTCTCTTGCCCTTCGGGCCAGGCACAAGCCCCAGCGATTCGCCCCACAAGACCAAGCGGATTCTTTGAAGAGACAGCTTAAAACTCAATGCTTAGGATTAAACTTGTCTGAGGCTGTTTGTGTGGCCTACTTGTGTGCAAAGCAAATCAAACTCCTCCCCAAAGTCACGCGCCCGTACCACAATGTCGAAATTCTCAATGCATGACGCAAAGAGACCTGCGATGCCCAAGACGCCTAAGGCGAGCCCAACGGGTTCGGCCATGTGGTGATTGTAGGAGACGTCAACCCAGGAATGAGACGTCGTACGATCTATACTAAGGTTAGTAGACTAGTGGCAGATCTCAATAGAAGTTGCTATTGAACATGATCGCCATTTCCATCATTGTATGTTATTGAGTGTAGTGAACACAAAGCTCGCGTTAGAGCTACGCGTGGGGGAGCCGCAATCTGCCTTGCGATTTGCCTCCGAAACGCCACCGGGTCTAGAGCCTGCATAGGACACATGACATCGACTTTCCAGGCGGTACCCAGGGCTCGGTACAAGTCGCACGCCCAGGAGCAGAACAAAGTGTTATACTGATTTAAGACGCCGAGAGAGTAGCTACTGATAGCTCTACTCTACCTGTTATAAACTCTCAGTCATGTCACCAGCTGCGTATCTTCTGGGAAGCCTTAAGGGAACGAGAGAAAAAACATCAATGTTCAGCCACACCACAGAATTGTTGCTACTGAATCAGGCGGCATTGTCCTTCACGATGGCAGCACAGCCTCGCCAGAACGAATAAATAGCGCGGTTCAAAGTTGATACTGGAGCATGTTCATGTTACAATACAAGAGATGCGGTAGCGCGACCAGCCTCAATTTTTTCAAACTTCATATATTCTCCTGACTCTAGGGCACAATTAGGTCTCTGAATTCTCGCAGGCTATGTTTGCAACGTGCCGCACGCTGTAATGTATTGACTTTGGGGAGCACGGTCTTACCCCTACAAGCTGTTAGGTGACTTGATTGCTCTTACTTATTTTCACTCCCTTGACTTAGCTTTTATTACTTGCAATACAAGAATTGCTGCCCCTTCATTCTCAGTACGATCTCATGCCTAGGAGGCTTCTTTTTATGTGTGTTCTAAGTGATATCTTCAGAGGGTGCCGGGCTGGCCTGTTTGAGCGTGCGCATTATTTTTGAGTCTCAAGAAATACATGCCTAACCCACAAATTCGGGATCTTGGACTGCTGAAAATCCTCTATCACCCGTGGCCGACGATCCGAGCCGAAGCTAGGTGGGGATCAAACGCTGCCGTAACGGAGCAGTGAGGGCCGGGCCTTGACCGCTGGCTTGGTGCAGCAATTCTCCGAGCAACACTAGCAACACACAGAATCATGGTATCTTTGTAAAACAAATTAGCAGCATGAGCTGTCAGATGACGAGCTGGATCTATTGTATACAGACTGTCGATTTAGTAGCGATCAAGCGCATCGTTGTCAAATTCTCTCGAGGAAGGACTGCCATAGGTCGAGAGGCTTGTCTGGTCCCCAACCCTTCTCCGCAACTCCGTTCCGAAGTTCCTCCTAACAGTTCAGTAATCAACCAAGCGACCAATCATGCTCTTCAGTAAACCTAACCTGGGCACATTGTGACGATGTATAAAGTCAACGTACGTCTAGACGACCTACAGTCAATCTTAATCAATTCGATCTCATTATAACATTCCACAAAATTACGAAAATGGCTGCCTCCGCCGACAGATCGACCCCGTATATCCCGCTAGCCGGCGGCGCTGACGATGGCTGGTCAAAAGAAGATGAAGCAACGGCAACATGTTTCTGCGGCGCAGTACAGCTAGTATTCGTGAGCACTCTCGTCACTCATCACTCATCACTCATGGAATCCTGCTCGGCCAGCTAACCAGTCTCAGCCAACCCAAGGTCCGGGTCTGATCTCTACCTTCGTCTGCAACTGCACAGACTGCCGCAAGCTCACGGCGTCCATGTTCGCATCCAACTTCACTGTCGCAGATACACACCTAAAGCATGTGAGAGGGCGTGACAACCTCAAGACGTTCAGCATGAAGCGCACCATCGCCTCGGGCCATACCATGACAAACTACTTCTGTGATATCTGCGGCACGCTCATGTATCGTGTCGGCACAGCCTTTCCAGGAAAGAGCATTCTGCGCATCGGAACTGTAGATGATTTCAACCTGCATGAGACCAAGTTGAGGCCGCGAGTGGAGATATACACTAAGGATCGCGCGAGCTGGGTGCATGCTGTTGATGGCGCCAGGCAATTTGAGGGCAGTGCTTATACTAAGCCGGCGCCAAGGGAAACCTTGTAAAGCTTATAAAAGGATTTGGCGTTTGACGTTTTATTTGGATTAACTCACTGATTGACCTCTTGCTGTTGGATGGTGAAGTCACCGGGAACAATGGTTCGTCCGTCACCTTCCCTGCAACTCGAATTGATTGAAGTAACAATTCCGTTTTTTTTTTTCCTGTTCGTGGTGAATAGCTCCCTCTCACACGCTTTCTTGCGTAGCGGTGTTACAGAATGTCGAGAGGCACCTGAAGTAGTTCATTTCCCCACACTCCATGCCAACTACATAACCTACGAATATTGATCAGGCCTTCGACCTTTAGTCTGCAATGTGATATTGACTTGCATCTTTGCATCAAAGTCTTTTCCATTTTCTTCAACGAACTGCGACCAAGTAATTCCGAGATAGTGTGATGCGAGGTGCTTGTTAGCAATGACATATGCAAAACACGCAGGTCTCCAGAGTACATGCACCACAGTACCGAGAATGCTGCTGCCTGCACGTGCCTGGTATGACAGTCCTAGGAGGTGAGACGCTCAGCCACATAAAGGCATCTTTCTGCCTATTCATCACATCTCTTCCAACTAATTACTACTTGATGTGACCAAGTTGATCAACTCTGCGTTTTCCAGTCTACGGCCTGCTGGAACAACCAAGACAACCACTCAATCAACACAAGAGTAGTGTTTGGTGTTGGCCACCCTCGCCGCCCTCGCCGCACACGTGCGAGCTCAACAGGGATGGACTCCAAGATGTCTTCTCGGTCGTTGCTGAACATTGGAAACGATGTTGTGATGATGATATTGGACGAACTCCAGCAGGCAAGTCCTCGTTCTGTTGTGTCCATGAGCCTCGTCCACTCGTCCTTCAGAAAGCTGGCCCAGCAATGCCAATACCGCGAGATGGAATTCGACCACTCGTCCGCTGCGTCCGATCGCCTGAAGCTCGCCAGTGAAAAGCAGCTACTATCTGCAGTCAGGTCTCTGAAAGTGAAGGGCGATGCAGTGAACGACAAGAGCTCCCCTTGGGGGCTTTTGGCTGACCTCGTGCCAAAAATGAGTGGCCTCAAAGACATCACCATCACGTCAAACAATATCCCCACGGAAATGGTCGAAGCAGTGCAGAAGTGCCGCGATGCTCGCTTGCATATTGTTATCTGCTGTCATGATAGGGGGGAATGCCTCACTCTCAAACAGTTGAAGGGCGTTGCCAACCTCTACTCGCTCGACGTTGATGCCACCTACGGACACTCTGATTGTTTGCATGTGACTGAGCCGCTGAGAGACGTCTTGCTTACTTGCTCGAACTTGCGTATCCTCAAAATTGATATCCACCAGCCACGAGCTGGGTGCGTCATGTACGGACTTGGGCCCCAGTACCTTGGGTGTGGCTTCAAGGATGGCGAACGCCCACCACCATTAGAAGTCTTGGAGCTCACAGATTATCCTTTCGGCCGTCCTGCGCCGAACGACGTAGCTAGGGGTTTTGGCTATCATTATGATGGGTACCCAGGAAGTGTAATGGAGGAGGACTACTGGGCGGATACCTTCGACTGGACACGTCTCCGTCGGTTGCGGACCAGATCAGTCTGGCTTGCCATGAAATTCCTGCCGCATTTGACCGCGCTTCGGGAAATTGAGATCACAGGCTTAGGCAAAGACGAGGATCTCAAAGCTTTCTATGCCCAAATTCCATCGAGTCTTGAGCGAATTAGTGCGCCAACGCTCGAGAGCATTGGCATCGACAGTGTGCTGAGACATAGCAGTCATTTGAGATCTCTCCAGCTGCACAGTAAAGAAGATGGACGTGACACATGGAGGGAGCAGACAGTGAATGCTGAGTCCTTACGAGCCATTCGCGACCAGTGTCATCTTATTGAGGAACTCGACATCGACTTGGCCAGAGACGGAGAGTGGCCCTATGAAGTGCTTGATGTCTTAGCGTCCTTCCCTAGGCTGAAAACCTTGAAGCTCTGGCTCGAGCTAGGGAGGAATTCCGACGGCAGCGCTGTAGAACCATACGCCACCTTCTCGTCGTGTGGGACGCTTTTTAAGTATCTTTGGGACCACTCTGCAGCTCAACCACCGCGTCTTCGAGAACTGCACGTCTTTTCTGGAGCGTATCGAGATATAGGCATCGGATATCCCAGCCCGAACGCGTTCTGGTCGAGGTATAACTCCTCGACATTCCTGTGCTCCCTCTCTGAGCGCGACGACGAAGCATCCCAAGGAGTTTACGTCACGACGTGCCCAAATCTTGATGCTAGCGAGAACAAGGCCTTGCAGCTTGCGTTGAAGCATGGGAAAGATCCGGAAAAGTACATTGACAGGGAGTCTGGGGGTCGAAGTAAGAAGGCAGCCTCCAAGCGTACAAGCCGTCGCTCAGGCAGACGAGATAGCTTTGAGGACGAGAGAGAGAGGACGCTTAAGCATTGGGCTGATCAGGCGTCACAAGAACGAATGAAAGTGGCTTGGAAAGGACCAACGTCACAGAATGCTTGGAAGCCACATTATTGAGGTGGCTAAGGACGTCATAGGCCACCAACCATAATTTGATTGTGATTTGCAGGTCGTTTGGAGGTATGTAGCTCTAGGAGATTGAATAATAAAAGTAATAGTGTGAAATTATCAGAATATGACTAAAGGGAACCCGTGTGTTGTTATCATTGTTGGTGGAGTCTCTTCACAACTGTCGGGGACCTCGATGCTCTTTGCCGTGAAAAGTTGGTCCTGTTTGAAAACCCTACAACTGAGCATCAGAAAGAGGACTATTGATTGAGAACATTTTACTGCGTTAAATTGATTACTGTGAAGAGAGACAATGGTATTATGTCTCACTGTGTATCTTATGGTGTATCGGGCAGTAACCTCATAGGGATGATGAGAGAGTGCGATGACTGGGATGGGTTTCGTGCACTGAAGGAAATTGGGGACTACCGATGATTATATGCTGCCTAGGAAAATATATGGCCGATAAAAGAACTTAGATAGCAACATGGGCGGGCTCATGTGAACTCGACTATCATTCTCCTATTTCTAAAAGCTCGTCGATTCGGTCTTGCCAGGAGTATCACTGGCTAAGATTGACTCTCGATGAGTTATCAACGCGTTAAATTTTGGTGAAGTACAAACCGGAATCTTGCAACTTTGCTATTTTAGTCAACGAGATTTGCTAAGAACGACACAACACTATCCTCTGGGTAGATATAGATTACATGTCACTCCACAAGCTGAGTCATGTCCAAATAAATAAGAATCACAGATCAGACAGTCGCAGCATGTTTAGGGGTAATAGTCGCAGTCTTGATATAAAGCTAACCACTGGAACAAAAAAGTCCCCTCCACCTAGACGCAAACCTATGTTTAAGGAACAGGTAGATTCTCACTTCCACGCACTTTATCATCGCTTCCATGCACTCTTTTACTTCTACCACCCACTCTACAGCGTAGCCACCCCCAGAATCACCGCCGTATTTACTCCGAAACACCTCCGAAGCATCTATTCAGTCTGTTAGCTTAGGTCCCCCGGGTCAAGATGGCAGAGGATATCACATACGTCTCCATAATAATGCCGGTGATGCGGTAAGGGTCGGCGTTGCTCTGTATACATTCATTAGTCTTCCAACCATCTTAAAAGACCGAAGGAGTCTACTCACGGCAGGTCTGCGGTCCTCGAAGTAACCATAGCCCTTGGCGCCAACTTCACGGGGAATACGGATGGAGGCACCACGGTTGGCAATGCCCCAGGAGAACTGGTCGATGGCACCGGTCTCGTGACGACCGGTCAGACGCTTGTCGTTGTCCTCGCCTGTACGAACTAAGTCAGTGTGGCTGATCTACACGAGGCAATTATTGGATGAAAGACGGACCGTAGACGGCAATGTGCTCCTTGTGGCGGCCCTCGAGCTTCTTGATGGCAGCCTCAATGTACTTCATACCGCCCTCCTTGCGCATCTCCTTGGTTGAGAAGTTGCTGTGGAGACCAGCACCGTTCCAGTCTATTCATTATTAGTTTTGTACAAGTATCGCTAGAGAGAGGTATGCTCACCGCCGGGGATGGGCTTGGGGTGGACTGAGATCTTGGCGCCGAAGTCCTCAGCGATGCGGTTCAGCCTAAATCGATTTATCAGAATTGGTTCTTGCGAACTAATTGGGTCCGATCAAAGCCTACAGGTAACGAGCCATCCAAAGGTGATCACCCACTGGGCTATTGTTAGCATATCTACTCTGTCAAATTTCAGGAGCATCTTTTCGACTCACTCTCAATGCCCAGGCAGGGGCCAATCTGGAACTCCCACTGTGCGCTGCACGAACAATCACGTCAGTTCTTACAACTTCACCAAAAAGGAAGATTAAAGGCCTTGCAAAAAGCTGGACCATGACTGTCGGGGTTACTCACGGCATGACCTCAGCGTTGGTGCCGGAGATCTTCAGGCCAGCGTACAAGCAAGCCTTGTAGTGGCTGTCGACGATATCACGCTGGACAACCTTGCCAGCGCCGACACCGCAGTAGTAGGGGCCCTGGGGAGCAGGGTAGCCGTTGGTGGGCCAGCCATAGGGGCGGTCGGAGAGGTCAAGGAGGGTGTACTCCTGCTCGAGACCGAACCAGGGCTCGTGCTCGGCGTGAGCCTCCATGAGCTTAGCGCACTCGTGTCGGAAGTTGAACTTGTTAGGTGTGCCATCGGCGTCCCAGCACTCGGCGAGGACAAGGATGTTGGGGGAACCGCGGAACGGGTCGGGGAAGATAGCGACGGGCTTCAGGTAGACATCAGAGTTGTCGCCGGGGGCCTGGCCGGTGGACGATCCATCGAAGTTCCAGATGGGGAGCTCCTCAACCTTGGGGGTCTTGCCCTCGTCCTTGAGAGTCTGATCTACATGTCAGCGAACATTCCTTGAAGCTCTGAGCGCGCCCATTGCTGTTTCTGGACGATTGTGTGGAATAAGATTGAGCGGCCGCAGCGGCGTGGCTCTTGGCGCTGGCAGTGATGAACCCGAGCCTGCGGCAACGAGGAGGCGGTGTCTGCACCCGAGAGTACCCGCTGCGTGTGCTCGTAATATGGACATTGGGGCTTCTTGCTGGCGACAGAACACGAGCGGAGGGGTCCGTTTGACTCACCCTGGCCTTAGCGCGAGTTGCGCCCTCTGCGTCAATCCAGATGTACTCGGCGATGATGCTGCCCTTCTGGTCGAGCTTGAGGTACTTGTTGAGCTGTTGAGAAGAGTCACGTTAGCAAAAGAGCCCATTTCTCGGCGTCTGTGCGATCGCCGTAGCCATTGTCCGGTGTGTGCACTTACAGTCTCGGTGCGAGAGATAACAGCGTCGGTGGTCGCCTGATTGCTAGTTAGCCGCTGCCGCCTGACTGGTTGTTCCGCCCTGCGTGACGTGGGCAAGGAGGGGTTTGGAGGGGCAGGCGCACCATGATTGCTGGATGTGATTTGAGTCGCGGGGGGGAAAGCGCAACCGGTTCGAGATAATGCTATTTGGATATGGCAGGAACTGAGGCGGTCGGAGAGGAGGAACACTGAAGCAGACGAGACGCAGGAGAGGACTCAAAAAAGAAGAAGACGAAGAGGAGCAGGAAGAACAAGGAAACTAGCGAAGAGGCTTGGGGGACCACTGGAGATTTCTATCTGCGGCGGCGAGTCGGGCTGGACAGTGCCAGGCGGCACGGTGGGAACGGCAAGATAAGGAATGGGGTGAATTGAAGACTACTGTTGGCTACTGCGCATTATTACGGTGCTTGATGGTGCAGCAAGCAAGCCCAGCGTCTCTTGCTGGGGAAACTGCACCTCGCACTAAAGGAAGGCTAGTTGATTCAGGTACATGCAACACGCGAGACTACATCTACATCTACACCTGCAGCCAGCCCGAGTACGGTAAGGTAACGTTGAGAGAGGTAATTACAGGCAAGGTAAGGTAAGCTGACCGGCCCTCAACCCCAATTTGCCAGCGGCATAAGGCAGGGGAGCAGGAAGTAGCTCGCACTTGGCCGCGCATGCATATGTATAGCAGGTACTCGTGTTGGTTTATGGGTGAAGACGGCGGCCCTTTTTTTCAACGACGGACAATTTGTTGGAACAAGTTCACGCATTTACGGCCTGCTCAAAGGCAGGGGGGGCCGTAATCGGCGCACCGGTTCAACCCCGCCAAGGCCGCCTGTGCCCCTCTCACGGTCGTCCTTCATTTGCTTGAGCCTCATTGGCCGAGCTGGAGTCCGTCAAGTCCATCGGCATCGTAAGGTAGGACTAAGGAACTGACTGTCCGACAGTGCGGCAATTTCTCCGCGCACACTCACACAGACACTCATACCACCACGCGCGCACATAAAACGCAGTCGTAAAATGAGTGAAATTCTGAAAAAGCCGATCAAGCAACTGAGAGACATTATGCCAGCTTCCCAATAATATCGCGTGGGATGGTCACCACCTTGCACGCGGCGGGAGCGTGGGGTGGGGTGACGGAATGGCGGGGGGAGGCCCCCCAAACTGGTTGGTCGAGGTGATAATGCAAGCACCAGCAAGCATCAGATAGATGCAGTGTAGCTATCGCAAACATGGCCTGTGATCGAGTTCGAGGCGTATTCCAGACGATCATGATGCACAAGTTGTGACGTCTTCACTACTGTTTATGGCATTTTCAATCCGCTTGGAAAGCAGTCTCCAAAATGGAAAAGAGCTGTGAGGTCATAGGGGCATTTTCATCCATATTTTGCTACTCGACTTGAAGTGTCATCTGAAGGGGTTGAAGTCAACCCGCAGTAGTCCATGAGGCTTTCGTGAACCACTGATCTTACGCATACTGTGCTGTAGGTGATGCAGGGGTCGTCGTCGTTCGGTTGCCTGTGCTTCAATGTCACTGCTGCTACGGCGGCAGACCACGTCTTGTCGCCACCGCCGCCGCCATCGCGGCCAACAAAACGAGTCATTAAAATAGTCGCCTGTTATCAGCAGCACCACCGCAACAACAAGCAGCATCATTGATGGTATGGGGTTTGGTGGTTCGAGAGGACCGGTTCCTGCAGCCGGGCTTGCTCCAGAACCAATAGCCAATGGCCGAGGGCATATTTTCTCTCCCTGACCTTCACATATGTGTCTCTGAGGTGGTGCTCCATCCAGCTGGCCTTTTTTTGAGGGATTTCTCGGACGCACCAGGCCGACAGTGCGTCTCCGCTTTGGCGGGGAAACCAATTCAATCTCCCTGGGTCGGCGTACCTACACCGACTGGCTATTTGATGGCTATAGCGAGGTATGGATATGTGAGGTGAGCAGTAAGGGCTGATGCATTCATTGTTGGGTTTTTTGTTCCTGGACCCATCCGTGGGAACGAGCTAAGATCCGAATTGAATCCTTTTTTCACTATCCAAGAGGCGAAGCCGGAACGACATCGTTGAGAAGGAACTGACCCCTAACGATATGCCTACTCGCCGCGAACCTTGGAAGTGTTGAAACGATGATCCGATGAAAAATCTTTGTCTGTTTACACAGTATGGAGCCTACCTCTTTCTAATTATGGTCTTTTGAGTACCTAGGCAGGTTGGGTTGGCGAGGCATGTGCGCTACTATTATCTAGCTTCCCCAGAAGGACTTTACCCGATGTCGATTATTTCCAGGCGCCTCAATGGCCTGTGCGCTGCGATGTGGCTGAAAAATAGGTGATACCTGACAGGCTGGTGCAGACCACAATCGGCCTATTAGCCGCAGTACTGTTCCTCGTACTGTACCAATGGTGCAGATTGCTCGAGTCGGGAGATAAGGACCCTTCTCGCTCGCTGGCTGAAGCGCTCCGGGGTGAGGAAACAATTGCAAAACTCTATTACCGCACGCCGTCGCCCGAGACGCGGCCCGCCAATCGCAGCCCGGCGACGCCTTCCACTGTTCATCCAGGTGTGGCCTTATAAGGTAATGGCAGTTACCTAATTGGTGGCCTCGACCATACACCGTCGTTCCTGGACCCTGCAGCTGCCGTGCTGGATGGGCTGGGCTGGGCTGGGCTGCCCCTTCCGAGAACGTACATACTGTATGTCTCGTGTCTCAAACGGAAGTCACTGCCAGAGGGTCCTTCCCCAAAGTCCAGACTGCATACAGATCGTGTTACCTAAACAAACCGCCACGCAGTCATTGCCCAGACTCCAGATTCATGTTCCTGCCACGGGATGCCCGTAGCTTGGCCCCTACCTTAGTCAAGATGCCGTGCGTAGCTGCAGTCTCCCTCCCGCCTTCCCCGGGAACACCACTTGCGACTGCCGTCTCTCGCAACAATTCCCTCGGTCTTGGCGGTTTGCGCTTTCCCGAGAATTCGTGGTGGCAGAAGGCGCGTTGCACGCGTGCCCTATGATGTTGCTGTACCATCATGTAACCATAGACTGAGGCATTGGATGATCTGACTTGGAGCTCACACTAATTTAATGGACCTTTAATCTCTCATTACCTAGGTAGATATGTCTCTCGTATGAATTTGCCGCATCTACTGTACAGAAATCCCTTTACACGCCTGCGGGGAATATCCGGAACAAGGGGTACTGACGACAGCCGGCCGCCGTGCTACTGCGCCGTTCCCGGGTCCTGCGTCGCCGAGGCGCATGGAGTAAGGCGCCGCTTAATCACTCCGGACTACCGCGGAGCCATAGCAGCTTCGCTACGCTTTCTTTTCAATGTCAAGCTGAGGACGGGCAAACATATCAAATCCAGACTCATGAATGCAGAAATTGCCATTCATGTTGCGGCCACCGCCAGCTCAGCTAAGCCTCCGGCCCAAAGAACGCCCGAGGCCAGATATTCAGAGCTGTCTTTGTCCCAGACGTCACGGGCAAGCCGGCATGGAGAACACGCTTATCTCCTGTGCCATTCGGCATCAGGTTGACCCAGAATAATGCATTGCCGGCGATAGGTTTGAAGGCCATCCCGCCATCCTCGTGCTCCCTCCACACCCGAGCAGTGACATCTCCTCCTATTTGAGAGCTGATCGGCTTGATATACGGGAAGTAGGTTTCACCGTCGGTACAGTTCTCTTGAAGAATCACAAAGAAGGTCGCAACGCGGTTGTAGACTCGTTGCCTTCCATTGTCCCCATCCTGAAGCCGAGGTCTTTGGAACCAGTCATAATGAAGGTCAAACTTCTGTCCAGGCGTGTATCGAACCATTTGCGCTACACCCATCTCATCTCGTCCAGGCGCCATGAGTGTCCCCATGAAGTGTTCTGCCCTACCAAGCACACACTCGACGGTGGTGTCATCAGCCGGTAACGGCGCACTCAAAGACGTTCGAGCTTGAGATTGGGCACTAGAGCCATAGCCTGTCACTGGAGATGGCTCGAGAAGTGCCTCACCTGCTCGTATGAGCGAGGTGGCTTCAGAAGGCGCTACAAAACCATGGATATACACAAGCAAGGGATCAAGTGATACCAGCTCGGTTGTGTACCGATGTGAGAGACACTGAATGTCTTCGGCTGATAGTGCAGAGAGGGGACGAACAAGTTTCAATAATGATGGAGCTAGACATGCAAAGACAGCCACGGTGAGACCAATGATTAGTAGTTGCCGGTGTGTCGTCGAGAGAAGATTGACCCTGGGCCTAGTTTGGGGCTTTGGCTTGGCTCGTAACGAAGTAGAAGGTCTCGATAACATAGTGAGCATGGGTATCACAACCAATTAATACTAGAGTAAAGAAGGCTTGACAAGGTGGCCGTGGTTGCTGTCACAATGGCTTGAGCAATCATCAAACTGCAAACTGTTCTCTCCGTTAAGAGAAGTGTTGTGAGGGGGCTACCTGCCGAATAACCCGACACGGCTAAAAGCAAGATGCATTCCATGATCGCCAATGATCTCTCCTTGATCTGAACGGCGTCGCTTATCTCGATGGCTCTCGATTTAACATTGAACTGTAAATCTTTCTGCAGATGCCCGCATGTGCTGAAGATCATGAGATTTCAATAACATGTTGGGTGATTGGGTGTGCCAACACCAGATACGAATCAGATGTCAAGATGCAGAGCGGGAAACCCCAGAGGATTGCACATTAGAGCAAATCGGAAGGTTGATTTGTGAACTGTTGGTATGTCTCCTATGAATCGAGTGAAACTTAATGTGCCCCTTGCTGCCCCTTGCTTTTCATGCCTCCTCGGGAGAAGGGTTTTCGTGATGCAGCGGTAGTCTAGCCAAGAAAACGCCATTCTGCAACTCTGCTAAGTAATGAGACAAGTCTTTTTGTTTCTTCAACTGGAATGACCTCGCGTATTTGTGGTTGGGAACGGTGTTTAGTGGTGGCGCTAATGATATTCTTTGACTCGTCGAGTGGCTTCTACCCGATTTCCTAAAAGGGGTTTGAATAGAGCCTCAATCAATTCTCAGGGCTTTCAGTCGCCCCACAGATCTAGACACATCACCAACACCACTAACTATACGATGAGAATTTTCGCAACAGAGTGCAAAGTCCTGGAAATGGTCTGAACTCTCTGAATTCCCCTCTTCTCTTTATTAATATCAACAACCGAGAAACTCGTTCCTGAACCACTCTCGGAGCCTTTCCGTATGCCAGCGAGGTCACCCAAATTGCCTCCCTAAAAACTTCAGTCAAAGCGTTGTGAAATGCTTTGTTCCATATCTGAATGAGCCTGCTAAGAAATGGCTACACCCTTTCCTATTTTGTGCCTGAATAGGAGGCCACAGGCTTCTAGTACTCTGACCTAGCCTCGCTACCGAGCAGTCATCACTTGGCGAGAACGACGGCTTTCAAGTTCTCCTGAACAAGATCTTTGATGAATCACTTCTCGAGTTCGAAGTTCTTTGAAATCTTGCGATTTGTGATTTCGGTCGAGGGGGTTGAGACCATGTGGTCCGTTATTCAGTTATTGTTTGGAGGCGGCGACCCACCATCCTTACTGTTCTCCAGGCCGCCATCTCTCAATAAGCCTCCTTAGACAGCACAACACAGATATAAAGCTTCAAGATGAAAGGCCATCTTGCTTTCTTTTCCTCTTTTCTCTTCGTCTTCAGACAAATCGAAAAGGTCAAAAACCCGAATTCGACAAGACTTTATTGCCTTCAAGCAAGACCAACACGCAACAAGACCCAAGTCAAGTCAAGATCCTAGCCAGTCAAGACCACTCAACAACTTATACTATCATGAAGTTCTCTACAATCATCACCCTCGTCACTGTTGCGGTGGGCGTCAACGCCGCCGCCATCGCCAGCCCTGACGCCGAGGCAAACCCAGACCCTTGGTGCACCAAGCATGGCCAGTCGTGCTGGAAGAAGCGAGAGGCCGAAGCCAGCCCCGAGGCATGGTGCACCAAGCACGGGCAGTCCTGCTGGAAGGTGAAGCGCGTGGCCGAGGCCTTCGCCAACGCCATCACCAGCTCCGGCGGCGTCGTCGAGTCCCGCGAGGCCTCCTTCTCCAACATGCCCGGCAACGCCGCCTACAACGCCAAGCGTGCCATCGACGAGCTCGCCGGCGTCGTCGCTGCCACTCGCTCCGAGCCCGAGACTTTCTACAACGACCTCAACCTCTTCGAGGAGTTCTCGCCGGACGCCGAGCCCGAGGAGACCGAGAAGCGCGACGTTATCACCCCTGAGAACGACAAACGGTGGTGCACCAAACACGGCCAGAGCTGCTGGAAGGCTAAGCGCGCCGCAGAGGCCATTGTTAACACCATCGACAGCTTCGCCAAGGAGGCTCGGGACGTCGACTTCGAGCCTGTCGCCCGTGGCAAGCGCGAAGCCGGCCCTGAGCCATGGTGCACTAAGCACGGCCAGTCATGCTGGAAGCGGGAGGCATCGTCCGTCGAGGCGCGCTGCAACGAGCTCAATGGTGCTTGCAGCGTCGCTAAGCGTGATCTCCATGCCATGTATGCTGCTGCACGCAGTGTTCTCGAGGAGATGGCATAAGTAAGATTGATTCCCTTACCACATTTCAAGCTCCGCTAACCAGCCTGGTAGAGATACACTTCCTTACTCGACCGCCAAATCATAATTCGGTTTCCGGGGTACTCATTTTCCAATATTTTCCTTCGATAGGGAGTTACGGTTCAGCATCCCCCTTGTATCAAAGTTGCTGCAAGAACAAAAACACTCTTCTCTTCGTTGAGCATGTCATTACCCTCTCATAGGTGCCCAAATCCGACCTGCCCACGCATGTCGTGCCTGTGGAGTGGTCGCATGCTTCCATTTTCAAATATACGGCGCTCACGCTTGACGTCTTTTTGGATCACAAATCCGACGATGATCTAAGCCACCCAAAGGGGGGTTGCGGTGGCAGTTTGTCATATGCTGTCAGGGATGGAACCCTCGATTGGCCAACTGGAATGAAAACTTAATTCGCCTTCAAATTCTGTATTATTACTTAGGGACATCACTCACTACAATGAGCCGTACCTCAAATTACTTCTTTCCTGGGCCCACGTGAACTGATTGCCATTGTAGTGAAAGCACTGCAAAATAAGCGCTCGTTTTGTGCGTGTAATTGTTCAAACTCGGTGGATTTCTGTGACTTTCGCCTTTGCTCTCATATGCTCTAAATCTCCGCTGCTCTCCAATCCTATCGCACAATCCTCGCGTGATGTTCCAGGTATAAGCCGTCCCATATTCCAGTGGTCATATACATCTCGAGCCTCCAAGCGTAATGTACATCGTGATTCCCGGTAGTAACGATGAAGTTATCCTCTTTACATCAATAGACGCCAAGCACCAAGCATGAGCGCGGCGAAACCGGTGCACACACCGATCAGCCATTGCAGAGTCTGAAATTTGACCTGCTCAAGCTGCTGCCGTAGACCAGCGACCTCCTGTTCGATCTTGGTCTCCGTCTCTTTGATCTTGAGCTCCTGCGACACCGCCTCTTCTCGTATGCGGCCCTTTTCCAAGTTCAGATCTAACCGTACGCTTGCCTGTGTCCGTCCAATCTCGTCGCGCAACCGTGAGCTTAGTTTTGCGATGTCGTTGGTGAGGCGCTCGTGGGCGGCCCGCGTCGTGTTGGACTCGCTGCTGTCGGCGGAGAGCAGCTCTGAGCGTAGCTTCGCAAAGTCCACTTTCTGTGTATAGGTGGCCTTGGCGGCGTCTTCACGGAGGACCATGGTTCTGGTCAGGTTCTGGATGCTTGAAGATGTTAGCTAGGGATCTTTAGGATAACGAGCTCTTTTGAGATCTTGCTGTACCTCTCCTCTATAACGTCGTTGAGCACTTTCATCATGGCGACAGACTGATCCTCCGTGAAGCCCTCGCTCTGGAGACGCTGGACAAATTTGAGTGTGTCGAAGTGATGGTCTCTTTGCCGTTGGGCGGAGGCATGGAAGGCCCTTCGAAGTGAAGGCCGCTGAAGCAGGGATGAATGCTTCTTCATTTGCCGGGGCAGAATACATCTCCTATACGTCTTATCCGTGTGGAGGCCTTGCGTTTGGCCGTGCCACGGTTGAGTGCTGCTTGTCTGAGCGGATGCGATCGCGACCTTGCTGAAAGTGTTGCTAACTGGGCCAGCCCAGCTTAGGCGTGGAAGAAGGAATCTGGGCAGCACAAGGGCGGCGCTCATGCTCGTGTTCGCCATGATAGCTGGTGGATGGGCTCACGAGCTCAGCTATGGCAGTCACAGCCCAATCGATCTTGAGGTACGGACAAGCAGGTTTGTGAGGGTTTGATGTCAGTCGCCAGTATAAGAATTTACCTCATCTCGGCATTGCTGGCCGGTGCGTGGCGGCTGGGCTCGGCTGGCAGTTGAGGCGCGCTAACCAGAAAGTGTTGCCTCAGGTGTCAACGAATCTACTGCCATAAAAATTTCGACGCTTGAGGCTCACCAAAGACTTTTCCTCTTTTTTCTTCTTTATTCAAAATAACAACGCATAAATCACATTCTCGAGACAACACAATTCGATACGAGGTACCCCTTTGGATGTATCCATGACCATTGAAGTTTTCGGACAGAATGGAGAACAAAATAAAAACGCACAATCTTGGGTGCGGTGCTTTCCTTGCCCTCGTGGTTGTGGGAAGGGCCGCAATGATTGGTCGTACATATCCATGATCCAGACGTAATTTGCCCATCTGCCCAGAGTCCCCCTAGGCTTCATCTACTCGACCTCGAATCATCTCTGCTCGCTTCCTGAGCTATCTTATCCTGAGCTTGATTGTTCGTGACTGTCGACCCACCCGCGTAAAATGGGTGCTTGAATAGCACTGAGCCAGGATCACTTAAAATGCTTGAGCTTAGCGTCATTCATTGTCATTCGCACACATCGTACAAACTCCTATTCTGATGTTCATATTTGCCTCCTGCTTCTTATGACAAGTAACAGCATGCATGTATCCAGCGATTCTCTTACTTTTGGCTAGTCCTCAAGACTAGGCTGCCCCGTGAGATGCCCGCCATTGAATCTCGTCGTGGGATGATGAGCTTGTTGGAGAATTTGGCTACTTACGGCCTCAATTTTCGGGTACGCTCGAGCTTGGCTATTCTAGCCGAAGCTCATGATGCATTCCATCAACAGAAGTTGCCGATCAGTGTGCCGGTCCAACTAGACGGGAAATAATCTAGGAAAGAAGATCTCAACATGAATTTTCCTGGTGAGGTTGAGCATCTAACCTCAGCCCATTGCATACAAGGACTCCCTCGCGCTTTCAAAACGGGGTTGGAAATTGAAGTCGATATTTGATGTATGTTGATTTGATCATACTCCTTAAGTAGAAACAGATAACTGTGTACAATCTCAGAACCCTGCCACAGCATGACTGCTGCCTTCGCTTTGTATGTAATTAGCGAGCGTAGTGCTGAAAGCCGCCCGGCTGATTTGATGGAATGGAAAGCGAACTTAGTTGTGCACCTCACTTTGCAAGTGAAGATAGATACATCATTCAACCAGAATCCATATTTCATCGCTCATTTTGGCCCCTTCGATGCTGAGATGCAGTCCAACCCCTATATCGATCACTGATTCTCACTCAACTCGTCCCAAAGAGGCTATTCGTATGGATTCGTCTGACTTTTAGACTAGAAAAGCTGGAGTCTAGCTTGCAGAGTTGCATCAGAGCTCCATATCCTTGTTTTAGATCCTTTGAAGCCGTTGAAGATGTGTACCCATAAAGATTTAGCTGCATCGAATTCTCTTAAGGCTGGATAAAGCAGTGCATATCCTCAAGTGTAGTTGAGCACAGTTCCAGAATATAGATACAGCCACAGAATTAGCGAGACAGTTTGGAGGCGTGTAAGGCTAGAATTGGACAGTTTATAACGATTCGCAACTGCCATTGGTGTATCTATACGATACGCGGTTGTATCCACCAGTTGTTGGAGCATCTCTTAAGCCTTTAACAGCGTAAATCTATCCCTGAAAGGAGGAAGCGTCCAGGGGCAATCCTTTAGCGAATGCGAACTCAATCGCACTACATTCAGGCGCAGCGTAAAGAAACTGGCATGAGGTCAACCAAGGTTGCTCCTAGCCTTAAGCATCATGTAATGGCTCGTCAGTCTCATAATGATGGAGGTGGCACAAAAGAGACAAATCGAATTGCTCCTATAAGTCACATCCATTTCCGTTGGCAATGATGCAAGCAATGCATTGCGTCAGGTTGCTAACCCCTTTCCCATTCCGCCGGAAACAAAAGAAAAGCCATGACGACATAAGAGTTCGTCATCATTTGATGATGTGGACTGTGCGAAGATAGAATGCCGAGTAGTGACGAAGATATAAAATACCCCATCAGGCCCTAGACCCCGTTAGTATTATATCCCAACCCAACCTTTTTGAAGACGCAACGATCTAAACATCCCCAATACTCCACAAAATTTGGACCACGTACTATCAATTATGTCCGACAACACTAACCCCGGCAATTTTGCTAATCGGTAAGTTTGATCACCACTTTCCAGAGCCGACTTATTTTCAGTGCCTAATATCCTGCAGCCCCCAGGAGGAAGTCCAAGCAATTGCCTCTAAAGGTGGACAAGCCAGTCACTCTGGCGGCTTTGCTAACATGGATGCGGATAAGCAAGTCAAGGTCTTCCACATTGGCGATGACTTAACGGAGATTATTGACTACTTATTAGCGCGACATTGCATCCAAGGGTGGTCAAGCATCATCAGGTTCCTTCGAGCCTGGCAGCGAGAAAGCAAGAGAGGCGGGTAGCAAGAGTGGATCTAAGTAGATGTGTCTATGTATAAGTACGATTTTGACGGGTCAACGCATTGTACCTTGATGGTTGTATTGCATACGATGATATGATTATCGTCGTTGCAGACTGAATGTATACATGAAATCGAACCAAACATTTTCCCATCAATACGTAGTATGAATCTTGAAGGAATTTAAGGGGAAGGTTTGCCAAGCTAAATGGTAACGATACTAGGCAAATGATCCCCTCACGAATAATCAAGTCAAAAAATAATTCTGTGCGAGACTAAGTCGTTGCGATTTTGTCGCGGTTCTGTTTAAATAAAAAGGTGACTTGACCGCTGTGAGAAGACTAGATGACTTCGAAAGTACAATATGACGACCCTACACAATCGAGTAAAAGCTGGTTCACATCCTCGCCACTCTGCCATTAACTTCGCTCTTCTGCTTCGAGCTCCTCAAGAGTCATGTCTTCAAAGCCGGAGTACCATTCGAGGAGGTCAAGCATTATAGGGAAATCTTCTTCGTATGTCACACCGTTGACACCAGAGTGATAGCGTTGGCGGAGTCTTCTCTCGATCACCAAGCAAGTCGGAGGGGGACTTTCCTGAGTGAAGTGCCGCTCAGGCTGCTCCCAGCGCGGATGAAAAAGAGGAAGATTGACAAATATACGCCGAGACTCGAATGTATTTGCCTCATCTGGTAATATTGAGCTGATCAGAGGTGAGAGAGCGGTCCGCTCACTGATTAAGGTCCACGAATAAGCTTGTTCATGGTCCAACCAAAGTCGGACCACCTGCAGATTTTCCAGTTGAGAAAACAATACTGGCCAAACTTGGTTCCATAACTTCGGCTTTTCATCGTCTTTGCTTTTACTTGCATCACTCTCATTCCTTGATAGTGAGTGATCTGGCGTTCGCGTGATCCCAGAAGAACCCAACAACTTCACTTCGAATGCCTTGAAGAATGATATAGGTAGCCTCAAAGTGATATCTAGTTTCTTGGGTGATAACTCTTCGATAAACAAGGGACTACCCATAAGGCGCTTTCTTGCTAAATGGTCGAGAATTTCAAGGTCTATGATGTTAATGTTAGTGTCGGCTACCAGGGACAAGACTTCCTCTTGCCTAGTAGATGCTTTCCATCAGTATTGCGAAGAAGGGAGTAGGAACTGCTCGGCAACTTACATTTCTTGCAAACGAATAGCATTGCAGTCATTATATCACAATCACCAGAGTAACATGTATTCTCATGGCCTAGAGGTTCGGTTGTGATTTGTGCAAGTTCCTCGCATTTCCAGTGTGGACCCCAGGAGGACTGCAATCGCCTTGCCTAGAGGGTATCTGTCTTCTGGTCTCCAGTATCCTTACGCTCGAGACCAAGTTAGTCCTTGACTTTGGCATCGTCGCGCATTGTACATGATGACACTCTGGCTTTTCCCTTTTGTAAGAATACATGGATTGCGCGAGGGATGAAGTCGGTGTAAATAGGTGGTCGGATTTCTAGGGGAAGGAGTGCAAAAACCTGACTTTGATTATGAGATTTCATGACAATTCTCGCGACACGCGAATATCTCTCTGTCGAGGAAATTGACACAACAGGGTTGAGGAAAGGAGGAGAGAAACCCGAAGAGTCGGTCTGCAGGTTGCAATAGCATCTTCTGGTGGGCGGAAGAACCCTAGTCCTTTCCGAGATGGGTTGGTCGGCAACGCGCGCTTCTTTTCTCTCTAAACCTCTGGTGAAGGAAGGATCTGGCTAGATCCCAGTATTCTGCCAAGATGTGCAAGTATGATGGCCATTTCAAAGCCTGCAGACAAGTTTGATATGAATCTTTCAAAAATCGCTGGTGGAGAAACACAAAAATTACATGAAGACACTAATCAGTCGTCAGTGATCCATACTTTGAAACAATCGACTTTGCGCGTATTAGGAAGACAGATTAAACGCAGATAGGTAGTGCTGACGCGCCAAAAAACCTAGCATACAATCGTGTAGACTATATGAGGCAGGATTGTTGAGATCCCTTCACACTCTTGGCTACAACAAGCTTGACTGACGGTCTCCATAACACTTAGGCAAGCCATTAGA